CTTTACTTTTGGGGCTGAAGATGTTAACTAACTACTACAGCAAGGCCCCCACGCCACATATCATACAGAAGGCAATTAAAAATAATCAAGAGAGTGACACTTTATTCCATTAAAGAAAACTTAAATTCATTCCGTTTAATTTTCTGTCACTAATTAAGATGTGACAAGACAATTTTTAAATAAGGAAAGCTCTATTAGGTGTCCACGCGGATGCACGATTTGTTTAACATGGAAAACAGATGTCAAATAAAAAACGAGACATGCAACGAGGAAGGATGTCAAAATAAAAAGAGCTTATCGAGTGAAATCACAGAGCATCACTTAGCATTTTAATAATGTCGTGTCAGGAGGATAATTTTGGATATGTAAATATGACGTGGCTGAATGGCAGAATATACCTAGACAGTAGACGTGAGAGAGCAAGGCTTGTTGTAATATTAAGCGTGCCAAAAGAGGAAGTAAGACTGTACTTTATAATAGTTACACGTCTGTCACTCAAATTACTCAACATTCAGTGTAGAATTTATATACCTGCTAATAAAATGTATCTTATCAAGCCCCAGCTATGAACTGTCTGCAACAACAGCCTGCAAAGCCTTGTATAGTACAGATACCCGGTGAAACTGCACTTACTATACATGATCAGCCACAACTTTAAAACCACCTGCCCAATATCATGCAGTTCCCCCATGTGTTGCCAAAACAGCTCTGATGTGTCTAGGCATGGATTCCACAAGACCTCCTGAGCATGTCCTGTGGTATGTGGCACCAAGATATTAGCAATAGTGATGTCGCGAACCGTTCGCGAACTTGCCACGAACGGTTCGCCACGGTTCGCCACGAACCGTTTGCGGCGAACTCCGGTCAGCTGACACGTCCCTGCCAATCTCCGGCAGACTCTCCCTCCCAGACCCTCCCACCTCCTGGACAGGGATGTTGAAGCTGCCTTCAACATGGATGCTGTCCAGGAAGTAGGAGAGTCTGCCGGAGATTGGCAGGGATGTGTCAGCTGACCGGAGTTCGCCACGAACGGTTCATGGCGAACCGTGGCGAACCGTTCGCGGCAAGTTCGCGAACGGTTCGCGACATCACTAATTAGCAACAGATCTTTTAAGTCCTTCAAGTTGCGAGGTTTGGCCTCCATGGATTGAATTTGTTGTTCCAGCACATCCCACAAATGCTCAATTGGATAGAGATCTAAGAAGCCAAGGCAACAGCTTGTACTCTTTCTTATGTTCCTCAAACCATCCCTGAACACTTTTTGCAGTGTGGCAGGATGTATTATCCTGCTTAAAGAGGCCACTGCCATCACGGAAGAAAATTGCCACGAAGGGGTGTACATGGTCTACAAAAATATCTAGGTAGGTGGTACGTGTCAAAGTAACATCCACATGAATTCCAGAATCCAAGGTTTCTGAGCATAAAATTGCCAGAGCATAACACTGCCTCCACCAGCCTGCCTTCTTGCCATAGTGTATCTTTCTTGCATCTTGTTTCCAAGAAAACATGATTTATCAGACCAGCCAATCTTCTTCCATTGCTCCATGGTCCAGTTCTGATGCTCATGTCCCCATTGAAGGCACTTTGAGCGGTGGACAGTGGTCATCATGGGCGCTCTGATCAGTCTGCAGCTACACAACCCTAAAAGCAGCAAATTGTAATTGTAATGCACTGTGTGTTCTGAAACCTTTCTACCATTGCCAGCATTCTGTTTTTCAGCAATTTGAGCTACAGTAGCTCTTAAGTGTGATTGGAGTAGACAGGCTAACCTTCACACCACTCGTGTATCAATGAGCTTTGGGTGCCCATGACCCTGGTGCTGGTTCACCTGTTGTCCTGCCTTGCACCACTTTTGGTAAGTACTTACCACTGCATACTATGAACACTTGCCATTTTGGAGATATTCTGACCCAGTCGTCTAGCCATCACTATTTGGCCCTTGTCAGAATCATTCTTCACTTGCTGCCTAATATATCCCGCCCCTTAATATGTTCCATTGTAACTATATAATCAATGTTATTCACTTCACCTGTCAGTGGTTTTAGTGTTGTGGCTAATTAGGGTATATGGGCATTGTGCCCCATACATACATTAAATTACATACCAATACTGCAATTGTTAGACAATTGTTAATTCTCTATTGACATATGATCCCTAAAACATTGTATTCCCCAACAGTAGAGAAATGATACATAAATGTAAGTCCTGTGAATGTTATAAAAATATATATATTATACTATTTTTTAATAAAAATAAGTTGGTATTGAATGGTTCAACATTATGAAGTCTATTGACTAAAATAAGAGTTTATTTCACATATCTGCCACATCTTTAATTGTATATCTATGAAGAGCTGCAGGTTTCATTGCTAGTCTATAAAAAAGCTGGATAGGTTAGCGTTCAGGCCACAGAGAGCTGCAGAGTTTAGCGTACAGATAACGGAAGGTTGCAGGGTTTACGTTTATGCCTACGAGGAGCTGTAGGGTTCAGTGGTCAGTCTGATGAAATCTAGAGTGTGCAGTCTGAGAACAACTGCTGTAAAGTAATATCTATGCAGGATTCAGTGTTCAGTCTTTACCAGTGGTACCCTACCCACTCTTTAACAATCAATAGTTTAGGATATACTGACAGGTGGCCCCTTGAGGTAAAGTCTCACTGCTCAATTCTCTGCCATTTAGGAGTTAAATTGCTCTGTTTCTGTTTATGCAGCACTAGCCTCACCTCATCTGGCTGTGACTCACTTTCATCACATATAGGAGGCGCTAGCAGGCTATTGAACGAGCAGAAAATATGAAATTCTAAATGAAACACATTGTGCATTAAAGGAAGTTTAAAAGTGTTATCTCTACAGGAAATGTGTAGGGAGACTGTGTAAATCATATGCAGGGGAGATGTGACTAGGACTGCATAAAGAAAGCGATTTAACTCCTAAATGACAGAAAATTGAGCAGTGAGACTGGAGGGGCATGATCAGTACACCAAAACGGCTTAATTAAGCTAAAGTTGTTTTGGTGAAATAGTGTCCCTCTAACCAGCTAATACACAGCTACTACTGTAAAGATACAATGTTTTTCTCATGCATTTATATGAATATAACACATTAAACATTTGCTATGCATTGATTAGCATTTTGGCTCATAAAGATCAATTGTTATTGGATTAATTTGCTCACCATCTCTTCGCTGTAATTCAGAGAGTATAATTGTCAATCTGTGTTATATAATCACCAATTACATGTTCCGTCTTACCAATGCTTCTAATGCTCACACCTGAAATAGGTTTAACTAGCTTTGTTCACATTGATCTAAGTATTTTTAATTATATATCCATCTCTGCAACAATACCTAAGATTAATTGCAAAGAGTTTGTAAAATGTCCTGGATAAGAGAACTGATTTAATAAATGCATTCTCTACAAGTTCCGTGATCCGATGTGAAATCTACAGAGAGCTGGGAACATTCCGTGTTTAGTCTATGCTGATCTAATGATTTAAAGGAAACGGTAATTCACACTTATTTTCATGAGATACCCTATATAATCCAACATTAAAGAATGAATAAATCCTTACATATAGGGATAAGTAAACATAAAACATCCGGGTAATAGACAGTTCCCTTTCAAATGTAAATAGAGTGTCAGGGTTCAGGGTTCAGTCTAGTGAAATCTGGGATTGTGAAGGTGTTGGATTGATGTTAATGTTGCTGGGTTTGCTGTCTTCAGCCTGCTGAGAGCTAAGGTTCGATTTACAATTTAAAAAAATGTATCTCTGGAGAGTTTCAGGATTCAGTGTCTAATGTCTGGAGAGTTTATTTTATTTCAAATTATGGAACATACCATCGTCTAATTTTGCAGCTAGCGCAATTTCGGCCACTGGACCATTATGCAAGTTATTATTGCACAATTCGTGTTTTATCTTCTTTTACTTTAAAAATTGCACTCACTCTTGAGTTTATTGTTAATCTGTATATGTATATAATATACCACATCAAAAATAAGAATTTACAAAAAAAAAAAAGCTGGTTGACAGGTGCCCTTGGCTGCCCCTGTATTTACGTCACTAGTTCTTATTCATTCCAGTTTTTAATTTTTGAGTTGTGCTTTACTGGTGTAATGCTCAAAATCTGAGTTAGCTACGTCAATTAGCCAAGCTCCAGGTGGCGTCTAAAATTTACGTTGAGCGCATTTCTATGTAACTTATGACGTTTAACCTTTAACAAAACAATAGCCTTCGGAGGTCTGTAGAGTGCTAAGGTCTGTGGTGCTCTTTACTGTTGTCTAGCTAATCAACATCGAATGCAAGTGGATAATGAGCTTGTTTTCAAATTAAATTTCTTCATCACTCAGTCTTCTTACTGCCGCAAACGAATCACGGTAGTTAAAAAAAACCACACATTTGCTACAATCAGCCTCATCTACCTGCTTAGCAATCTTACAGAAGCACATCAAGTGTGTTGGTAATGATGGGGTTTGCCACATGCTATTATCTCAGAGACCTGTCTGGCAATGCTCATTCTCTCGTACATAATTGCTTTTGATCACAGATCTACAAACTTGAAGACAAAACAATAAGAAAAAAAAAAAGTATTTCTTTTATATTTTCAGAAGTTTACACAGATATCTTGTCGTGAAAGGAGAATAGAATATTTAGACTGTATTCTATAAACATATGATTCTAATAAACATTACCACAAATATTACAGATCTTCAATCTGATACAATTCACTAAATGGAATTTCGTCATAGAACGGCTTTGTTTTGGAAGATTTAAAAAAAGTAATGGTGACAAAATGGCTTCCACTTGTCTTCTGATAAAAAATGTATGGAAGATTCGATTATCATCTTAAGTTTCTACCAAAATCATGATTATACAGTTGTATTAAACATACATACTTTGCTCATCGTTTTAAAATAATTTTTAGTAATTTGTCACAGCACAATAGGTTTTGAAAATGCCACCATCTTTGTTGATATCAAACCCTAGTTGGATCATAGTAATTGACTGCTTACCAGCGTGTTGAAGTTGTCACGTTGATACAAGTGTTTTTTGCATGTCATACAGTCATTCTGGCAGTCACACAACACGTGTGCAAATAAGCACAGCAACACTACAGACCATAGGTGAGACTTCATTGTGCACAAAGAGGATAGCTCCGGTGACTGAAAAAGAGACAAAAACAAATTGTATTTTTAGGTTACATTTAGACACTATTAGAGCTTTATTTTTGAGAGGACTTTGAAGATTTGGATATTAATCAACAGAGCATATATTACAGAGTTACATAGTTACATAGCTGAATAGAGACTTGCGTCCACCAAGTTCAGCCTTCCTCACATATGTTTTTGCTGTTGATCCAAAAGAAGGCAAAAAAAAAATCAGTCTGAAGCTCTTGCACTTTTGCCACAAACTAGGAAAAAATTCCTTCTTGACCTCAAAATAGCAGTCAGATGTCTCCTTGGATCAAGCAGCTACTACCCCACTAATTAGAAATTATATCCCTGTATGTTATGTTTTTTCAAGTATTTATCCAATTTCTGTTTAAACATCTGTATGGACTCTGATAAAACCACCTCTTCAGGCAGAGAATTCCATATCCTTATTGCTCTTACTGTAAAAGAAAAAACGATTCTTTGCCTTAGATGAAATGTAAAACATAGATGAAGAATATTTTAAGGTTTTGATGCTTATGAGATATTTTCTAGTAATTCAGGGCAAATGACCTAATTAATGTACAAGTTGCTTTGATAAAATCTATTCTTATTTTTATTTTTTTACAATTTGTCTTTCTTGAGTTCAGCACTAGTTCTAGTTTATGTTTGAAGGGAAAATAATAAATTAAATATTTCCTTTATTTATTTTTTCCTTTTTTTATTGGTCGCCCCCCAAAAGACAGTGTTATTATGATCTTACAGATATTGAAAACTGGATATAATGTGAGTTCAATTTAGCAATAAAAGACTTTGATCTATGGAATTGCCTACAGCTCCTGAGATGGATGACTGCTTTATATTAGGTTTTGATCTTGCATTACACACAGCTCTTCCACTTTGTAAACTTGATTGTTATTGAGAAAGTGCTTGCTGCTATTATCATTTTTACCTACATTTCCCTCCTCTTGCCTATCAATGTGGGCTATATATATATTTGTATATCTTCTTTATTGAATATTCATCTTTTACTGACTTTTCAAAACAATACAATTTTGAGTCTGTTCTTCCAGGAGGTTCCACATTTATTTGTAGGTGGCTTTTCTTCCATGGCCTCTTTAATAATTATTTTTTTCTTCCTAATCCTGGTTGTAGAGAGTACACTAATTCAGCTTTTATTGTAGCAAAAAAAAAGGATAAAATAAAGGGTACATTTTTCTTATTGTAGTAGGGGCTCGTCCTATGTGCATTATGGAGCCTCGGGTAGATCTAAAAGTTGTAGGCTACATTAAAAAAAAGTAAATGGTTACCAGTGCTTTCTTAAAACACTGGTGCTGATTAGAGTAACCCTTTCTGTTGGTCCTTCCCATCACCAAACACCAAAAAATAAAGTAAAGAAAAAACTGAAATTTACCTATCTTTCATTGCCAAGGTCAAGTCCTACACTCATCCCGATCCTCGCTAGATGACATCACTCCCCTCATAAGAGGTGGAGGCAGGTTAACTTGGGCAGATTGAGGAGAGGACAGAGTGGCACAGAGAAGGGCTTTGGGGCTATTTTCAGTCTGGCACCAGCATGCTGTGCGCGCTGGTTTCAGTCACCAATTTTGCACAGAATTGATATTATCCAGCCCGGAACTCTTGGCTTTAGTAACCATGTGATAATTGAAACTGGTAAGACGTGCATTTTTTATTTAAACAATGTGTATGTGTAAACAGTGGGAACATGGCAGGTCTACTTTAAGCACAATACAATATTAGGATCTGTTGCAACTAAGCAAAATCAATTTATACTTAGCTTACATTAGAAATTGTAATTCTACATAAATATATTTTTTCGTTTTATTAATTAAATATACTTCAAATCACAAGTTTAAAAGTAGCATGAAGACTCAAGTGGGAGAGCGTGAAAGTGATAGGTTTTGAAGTTAGACTGTTTATCTTACTTGCTGAGATTAGTGTACCGTACCCACACTGTGCCTGAAAGGATAGGCTGAGGAGCTGGTCTAAATTCCATCGTATAATTGGACTTCTGCTACCCAGATACCCGACCCCTTTAATTTGTCACTACCAATTTACCTGAAATTACATACACACCAGAGAAATTTCACACTGATGAATAAAAATAATCAGGTAATTATGGCTCCTTTATCAAGGATTCAGCCCGACTGTCAATCTCCATTTAGACGTGGCATTGCAATAACTTGTCATTGCTGTTACAATGAAGCTGATTGCAAGTCCTTCACATCTACGAAGTGAAATGGAAGGATTGTACTGTGTGAAAGGACAGAAAAAAATCATTGCATTTCATAACTATGAAGTTGCGATGGCTCAATGAAGTTGTTATAGTGCCCGGAGTGTTTCTTTAAAATAAATACAATACAGTAGAAAAGAGAGTTATTTCCTCTTAGGAATAACTAAAAATATAGTTTTTATAAACTCATAAACAAAATAGAAGGAAGGAAACTTGTGGGTCGGAAGTTTAAATCTTCACTTATTTGGATGCTGTAATACAAAGTAAAGTATAAATATATTTAAGGGACTGTCTCCGTAGTGCCATGCTGTTAAAAATACAACCTAGGCACCGAAAGACCTTTAGGTCCGTGGTCATTCCAGTATTCTGAAAATCAGTAAAAGTAGAAGCTCCCATTCCAATTTTGCAGTAACAAGTTTTAAATCTTTGGAGATCATTCATTGGTTGTGTAACGGATCACCTGGCACCCCGACTGGGTACCTCCGTTGAAAGATGCTCCTAGCGCTTCCAGAGGACTCCAAGCACTCCACCAGACACCATAAGCACCGCAGGCTGCAGCTATCTCCCTTCAGAACGAAGCAGGAACAAGCTCTTACAAGAGCTCAGTGATTATAGCAAGGGAATATGCCTAGCATAGCAATCCCTTGTAGCAGATTCCCCCAATAAGAGACAGGACTCAAGTTGAGGGTAAAAATAGAACTCTCTGGCTGCTAGCTTGCAGCCCTTTTTATTAGGTGCTCCCATGAAGGGGAGGGACACACACAGTAACGTACATTAACCAATCACACAATAGTTACATCTCACACATAGCCCTCCCCTCTACCTGTAAACTAATTATCTGTACACACAGGGAAATACAATTATCATAGGTAGGGAAAATACAGTTTTTACACAACATTCATAACTCCCAAAATATACATCACATTCGCATAAAAATACATATTCACAATCAATCCATTCAGGGGAACAACATATTCAAAAATGGCATGAATCAGACCAGCGGTTCAGAAGTTAGTAAAAGTATCTTTTGTTCCCCCTGGCTCAAACAGTAAAAGTAAAACATCCCCACAATGCATCCTGGCTTCCTCCCTTCTGCCCTGGAGATAATTGGAGAAGGAATCTAATTATCTCCAAAGACAGAGCCAAACTCCATTACCCACATGGCAGACAAAAGACAGTAAAAGACATAAAATTACATACTGACACATTTAGTACATAAAACACACATTTCTACATATCCCCAGATAGCTTGGATCTGACTGCACATTATTAGATGAATGGCACTCAGATCACACAAATAAGCCTTTCTGCAGGGAAAATAAACAGTTTAACCTGCAGGGCCATAGTCCAAAGGCAAGAGGCGGGCAAGCAGCCCCCTCCAAGGACACGTGGCGAGGTTGGTTTCGCCACAGGTTGAGAGTTTGACTACTTGCCATGCGACGGCGTCAGGAGATTCCTGGCACCATAAGCACTACATCGGGCTGAATGTGTTAAGATGCTTAGGCTGTCCCATTTAGAGTTTTCCCTGTCTTATCCCAGTAGGATACTTAACAGTGTATCAATAGTTACGTTCATTCTGTTATCTTGACATTTGAGTTTTTCTATTAACATACGTAAAGTATTCCTACATAATAATTATTACTATCGACGCACTTAAATCTAAATTGCAATTGAACGTTAGCAGACAATGATTTCCTGAAGTTAAACGTTTTTGTTTGGAGCTATTCCAGTTTTATGTCACAGAGTAATTAAGAAGGATGTTTAATGAACGCCTTCTATTAGAAGCTGAGAAAGATTTCTTTATCTAGATACAGTGTCTCGTTTATTTTTAATCTATAGCTAATAAACCATGTTACGTATGGTGAGTTATGGCAAGAAAATAATGGTTTCTAGGAAATACACACTATGGAGACCAACAGGGAGTAATTCTAATGCAATTGTGCCTCAGTCCATTCCTCAATACATGCCAATGCTGCTGAATTTATCAATATTCCCACTGGAACAGAACCGGGAAATGTCTAAATCCTGCATTGTTGGCATGCGTTAAAGACAAGGCTGGCAACCATGGCACTGAAACAAACTTTGTCAGGACTATATCAGGGAATTGTAAATTTAAAGGGACTCTGATTTATAAAGACTCATAAAGATAGAATATCCAGTTGTGGTGGCTAATGGCTGTCCTGAAGAATGTTGCCAATATATTGATAGAAATTTTATAAATGTCCAAATGTTCACAATTTAGTGAAAAAACCTCATAAATCATGTTTAAATATATCAATAAAAGGCTTTATTATACCTGATGTGAAACTAATTATGCTATATGTCATTTGAAGAATTAATTTGGAATAACCCCCAAAGCTCCGTCCTGGTCCCACAGTATTTCTTGATGACACAGAGTGTCCCAGCTGGAGCTCTAAATCATTGACAGAGCACTGGACCAAGAGGGAGCTCATAAAGTAATCTACACCTGATACTGGTGCAAACCCCAATGCTCCTCCACTAGATCACCAGGTAAAAAATGCTCTCTAGTGGCCCTTCAGGGAAAAGTTAGCAGGAGGGGTGCAAACACACACTCAGGCAATACATATGCAGCACTCAGACACTACACACACACTCAGACACTGCACACACACTCAGACACTACACAGGAAACACTCAGACACTGCACCCACTCAGACACTACACACACTCAGACACTACACACAAACTCAAACACTACACACACACTCAAACATTACACACATACTCAGACACTTCACATGCAACACTCAGCCACTACACACACACTCAGACACTACACACATACTCAGACACTACACACGTTATTTGTTTTATGCATTATATGGGTCCCTGAGGAAGTTCTCAAGGAGAACGAAACGTGTAGGACGACCATATCTTTTTAATAATTGTTAATAATAATTTTTTTTAATAAAAAAATATCCCTTTTCTTTAAGAATTCTCTGGTTAATCGTTTTTGGTACAAAAAGGGCCAGTCCGCAGAGGAGTGCGAGGGAAGAACTCAACCCCCTACTACAATTAAGGGTGGCACCCTTAAGGCGTTTAAATCAAGTTTACCTGTGAGTGCAACTGATAACATGCGTTATGTTATTATTAGACAATATTGCACCATGTTATTATTTGTTTTATAGGTCAATCAGCAAGAACCCTAAATGTTCTGTACACACATGTGTAGGAAGTGTAGTCCCTACTTTGCCTAAAGTATTTTAAGAACAGACAGGAAGGAAATAAGCATCAATTGGCGGAAAGGTAAGTTTGACATGACATGGTCACTTTAAGAGTGGGATTTTTTTTTTATCAGGGTTATTAACTAACATGAAATCTTTAATTTAGTTCAAAGAGAATTTAGCATGTAAGACCTGAGTAGCTAAACTGAAAGCGTAGCCGAGTTAGAGATTTATCCCAGTTCAGCCTTAAATTTGAAATTCTCTCTGAATTCCCAGTTTATTCTCAATAGGAATTATCTATTAAACTTCGATAAATTACAGGAATTTCACACCAGTGTGACGCGTTTTACAATCGCTATGTTCAATGTAATCTCGTGGGTGGTGGAACATCCATATTTTACTCTTTATGTTCAGCTGAAGACATGAGACATAAGGGATATTTTCTCTACACCTTAGTACATAGTAGACATATATATTCTGAAATTATATTGGTTGATTGCGCTGGTAAACCAGAAATAAATTATCAGCAGTGACGAACGTCACGTAAAATAAAGAGAATGCTAATTAGCTTTAATGTCATGGACTAATCTAAAGTAATCTAAACACGGGCAGATTGGCATTTAATTTAGAGGAAAAACACATCTCTGATTACAGAGACAGTGATGGTTATATATAACTATTTTCAAACTCTCAACGGACTTGTTTATTAGCAGCTGATAAAAAGGCCAGTTCACATAATAGCTCCAGTGAGTTTAGAACGTGCAAATGTTCTGGTGAAATAATCAAGTTAAAAAATCATCCACATTTTAAATGTCTTGGGAAGAGCAACTGCAAAAATTCTATCGAATGTATAGATCTTAAGGTAATCCTTTTTAAAAATGTGGTTCGTCCCCACCTCTCAATCAGTTGTTGACATAATGATCTATGTTGATGGCATAGTCCTCTACAGACTCTACAGACACTGGTACTGTAGGCATCAAGTTTGCGTCATGAGATCACTCTGCTAGAGGTCGTGTTCCCAAGTCCTGTAGTAGGGAGGGGAAGCTATACATGAGCCAGGATTGGATTCTAGATTAGTGAAATATCCACATAATTGGTATGATGGTAAAACTAGATACAAGGTAGTTATATCAGCATTTTCAATGAATCCCTTAAGGATACATGAAGGACATTTTCCGTTATAATGGCATTTTATTTCTGAAGTGGTGTCTTTCTGGGGTTAAATGCATAATTTATCTCTTTACAAAACATGATACCTTTGTTGATCATAGGGTGGTTGAAACGAGACATGTTCATTTTTACAGGGCAAGAAGTATTTTTCAAATTCTGTTAATTTAAAGGACCACTATAGTGCCAGGACTGGATGGAGAGGAAGGGGTTAAACACTTACCTTTCTCTTGCGCCGGGCTCCCTCGGTGTTGGAGACTCTCCTCCTCCTTTCCTGTCATCGGCTGAATGCGCATGCGCGGCAAGAGCATTCAGCCAGTCTCATAGGAAAGCATTCTCAATGGTTTCCTATGGACGCTGGCGTCTTCTCACTGTGAAAATCACAGTGAGAAGCGCGGAAGCGCCTCTAGCGGCTGTCAATGAGACAGTAACTAGAGGCCGGATTAACCCTAAAGTGCACATAGCAGTTTCTCTGAAACTGCTATGTTTACAGCAGAAAGGGTTAATCCTTGGTGGACCTGGCACCCAGACCACTTCATTAAGCTGAAGTGGTCTGGGTGCCTATAGTGGTCCTTTAATTTACATTTTGTAAGTCATTTCTCAAGTCAACATTAACATGGTTATTTAGTAAAATTCACATTTTCACAAATTAAACCCAAATGGATAAACTAAGGCAAATGTAAAAAAAATAAAAATCTCCAACACAGCCAGTCACAGCTTTTGCTTCAGTTGTGCCATTCAGATTTAATTCACAAAAAATCAGTTTACTAAATAACTCTGTAACACATATTGCTTAGTAAATAAAGCTTATACAATCCCATGTGAATTTAATTTTTTTTAATATATTTAATAGCAGTAAGTACAGTAGAGATAGGGAATCCACTAGCCAACAGTACTTATGCTATGTTGTTGAAAATACACATTTAATAAAGGGTTATGGCACCCATTGTACAGCGCTACGGAATTTGCTGGCCCTATATAAATAATAAAATAATAAAGTAACAATAATGGGCATTTTTAAAGCAGAAAGTGTTTATTCACTTGCTTAAGACGTTAAAACAAAAAAAGATTTATGTGATACTGTGACTTTGTTTCAATATTCTAAAAATGTATTTGAAACCTTTTTCTGGATTCGGTTTGTTTAAATGCTCACTGTATAATAATTAGATGGCATGCTCCAGGTAGCTCACATTATCACTAACAAAATCTGGGATACTTTTGGTACATCTGCCTCTGGTGCCTCTGCAGTAATTTATTTTCAACTCTTTAGGTGACTAACAGCTGTCTACAACATCTGCTTCCTAATATATCGCTGTGAGCTGAAACAACACTTCTACGAAAGTTTTAAAAAGAGACCTTATTTGTCACAGCGCTATGATACACCCAATACCAGCACGAACTTTCTTCTCCCTAATGTCTTGGCTCTCAGACACTTTCTTGACATTATGTTATTCCATCAACTAGGAGACATATAAAACAGCTTTGTTATGTTGTGGTCTTTTTTTGCTTTTGGCATAACACATTTATTTTTCAAAACCTGATATTATTTCTCTATGCGGTATGAGGCCATTTAAAGTTATTGTTGCATAAATTTTGCAGCAAACTTTGTGGTTTTTATAAGTATCTCTTCCTGGCTGATACATCTTTCTGAGTTATTCAATAATGGGGAATAGGTGACATGTGAGAAGAGGAGAAAAATAAACTAGCTTCAAAGTCTTGACAGGTGTATAGTCGCCATTTGGGCAGTCGGAATCCAGGACAATCACCCCATATCCTAACCCAATAACGCACGGACACTAGGGATATGGGAAATTTTGTCCACAGCTTTATTAAACAAACAATAATAATAACAATGATAATAATAATAATAACTTAACAAGTAAAACATGGGTCATTGCCCCCCATACTCCGCCCTCGCATCCTATTCCTTCCGTTAACATATAAAGGGCAATGACCCCCATATAAATAAACATATATATATAACATACATCAACATTATTCCAATACCGATGTAAAGTGCCAACCATCCATTAACCACGGCAGGGGTATACCCGGATACCCCTACCCCACCAGGTTCTGAGCCACCGACAGGACTCGAAACCTATCAACCACCGATGACCACCACTTGTTTGTTTTCCATTACGCTCACCCTGGGGAGCCTATTTCCTTTCCTTCAGCTCCCCATCCCGCCGCTGTGAAAAAACGGGACAACCCCACACGTAACAAAACAGGGAGGGTGAGTGGGACAGACTTAACCAGGTAGGAAATTAGAATGAATTACCTAAAATGGCTGCCCATTTAAATAACCAAACCTACTTACCCATAACTCCACTCCCTTGCTTACTTCCTCTTAAGCCCGCCTCCTAACCCCTGTCAAGGCCTTTTTCCGCTTAGCTGCGCACTAGCTACATGGGGCTACAAATTAGATATATGTTAATATATGATATCTCATAGCAAAACCCCCATTATTTTTTATCAAAGTCGGATGTTTTTATAGACTCTGCCTGGGTTACAAGGTCGTGTTTGGGAGCTGAAGCCCAAGATGTTGGACCCCTTAGCCCTGAAGTTCTACAGGTAGTGGTGAGAGCAGAAGGATTGTGGGGTGGGGGGCTAAAAGCACGGGTGTTTCTGGAACCTAGCCATGATCCTGCTGGGTTAGTCACTTGAATTACCAGGAATTCAAATGCAGTTTCCGATTTTATGCCCGTATAGTAATCTTGTAAATATATCTGGCTTGGAGTATGCTGATGTAACAGAGTGCTATATTTTGCTGTTTTTACTTCATGTTTTGAGATATTGAACTTTGCCCTTTGCCCTGTCATGTGAGGAGGAAGGGCTAGGATGGCAGGAAGAAGAGGACAGGGGAGAAGCTATGTTCTCTGAGTCTGCATAAAGGGACACTATAGTCAACTGAACAACTTTAGCTTAATGAAGCAGTTTTTGTGTATAGAACATGCCCCTGCAGCCTCACTGCTCAATCCTCTGCCATTTAGGAGTTAAATCCCTTTGTTTATGAACCCTAGTCACACCTCCCTGCATGTGACTTGCACAGCCTTCCATAAACACTTCCTGTAAAGAGAGCTCTATTTAGGCTTTCTTTATTGCAAGTTCTGTTTAATTAAGATTTTCTTATCCCCTGCTATGTTAATAGCTTGCTAGACCCTGCAAGAGCCTCCTGTATGTGATTAAAGTTCAATTTAGAGATTGAGATACAATTATTTCAGGTAAATTACATCTGTTTGAAAATGAAACCAGTTTTTTTTTTTTCATGCAGGCTCTGTCAATCATAGCCAGGGGAGGTGTGGCTAGGGCTGCATAAACAGAAACAAAGTGATTCAACTCCTAAATGACAGTGAATTGAGCAGTGAAATTGCAGGGGAATGATCTATACACTAAAACTGCTTTATTTAGCTAAAGTAATTTAGGAGACTATAGTGTTCCTTTAAAGAAAGTGTGTTCCTCCCTGTTTCAATGGTCTATTACTGCTGGGACAGTGAAATAATAACAGGGGAAGGCTAATGCACTGCTACTACAAGAAGTTGGAGACTGTCTGCTGCTCTGCTTGGAGAATTAGAAGACTGTTATTTAATGTTCAGCTCCCTGCAGATTCTGGAACTGTTTGCAGGAGTGTGAATGAGCATCCTCTCAGCAGAAGGAAGAGAAAGGCGGAACCAGCCTCACCACTGTCCACTGGAGGAGCCTGGTTGCTCACCTGCTCCCTTTAGACTATGGCCCGGCATTTAAAACCTTTTATTTTCCCTGCAGAAAGGCTTATTCGTGCCTTTCTGCCGGGGTGTTCGGTAGATTCAATCTACCGAACAAAGTACCGAACGATCGACCACCTGGGAACGGGAGTGTGCCATCAATTGACCGCCCAGAAGCTGCGGTTAACCACAGCTTAATTGACGAACGCTGGGTGGCCTCTGTTTGTTTGCCGAACACGTGGCAGCAGCCATTTTAACTCCCGAACGGCCAGCGGTGTTCAACGCCCAAACTATGGAACTGGAAACTGACACTTATTTGCGCGAACACCGTTGAGCCGCCAGCCTCCTAACCTCTGAATTCGGTAGTGTAACCAAATGCCTGTTCATTCGGTAGTTTAACCGTCTGAACAGCATCACCCCAGATAGCCATGCCATGGAGCCTATTCGTGTAACAAAAGACTATGGGAAAGACTTTGGCTCCATGGCAATTGAACTGTATTTATGTGATCTGAGCGCCATTGGGTAGTGATGTGCACTCAGATCTAAGCTATCTGGGGATAAGTAGAATGTATATGTTTTGTGTATTATGTGAAACATTGGATATTTTAATGTCTTTTTACTAACATGTGGTTAATGGAGTTTTGCCTCTGTCCTTGGAGATAATTGGATTACTTCCCAATAATCTCCAGGACAGAGACGAGGGATTGTGATGCATTATGGGATTGTAAGCTTGTGATTGGTCAATGTCCAATATGTTTCCCAGTCTTCCATCTGGTCCCCTAGGGGAGTGTCCACCAGGTGGGAGACCTGCATAAAAGCCGGGCAGGTAGCCCCAGTAAATGAGTTCTGCTTAATCCTCAAACAAAGTGTTGTTTCGTTCTTGGGGGGAATTGGATTGTATGCTGCCAGGAGTGTAAGCTGTTCATATGGTTTTTCCTATTCGGCTGTTTAACAGCATTCATGTGTTTCCTGTTCGGGAGTTGAGAATTCGTATGGTTCCAGTTCGGGAGTTGTAAAATTTGTGTGTTTGAAGTTCGGGAGATTGGTGATTGCAGTAGCTGCCTGTGCATCTGAAAGTGGAATATCGCCTAAACGGTTTTTAACCTCTTGTGTGCAAAACGGTCCGTTACAATTGCCATTGCTATTCTGCTGCTGTCCTACATTCTGATGGATCTGTCTGGAAATATCTGCAGTCACAGAAGTCAGTCAAAGGTACTGTCTACAGAGATTGCTTCAGGATTCTCCCTTATAACTGTACCTGGGTAGTGCTACCTACACCTGAGGGCCCCAACATTGTGCACATAATTTACCTGCAGGTACCTAGGAGTTTAACTGTTCAGATGTAGTTATTGGTGTTATTAAGAGAAGTTTGTTGTCTGCATTCCTGCTGCTAAAGACTCTTGTGACGGTATCAGGGACTTTATCATCATTTAACATTAGCCAGAAACTGCATTGTTATTTCTGCTGTTATATGTGTATCTCTTTAACCAGAATACAGTGTGTATTTCCATGTCTGTAGTTATTTCATGTCTCTGAGTTATTAAGTGGAGGGTACTCATCTACTCAGTGGGGTGGGTTCCCCATAAATAGAAGTTGCACTGAGTGGAGGCACTGCGTCAGAACAAGATGTCCCGATCTCCCAACTATAGCAGAGGCTCAGGATCCCTGTCAGCGACAGAAGAAGGTGAAACTGCTGCTAGCTACGGCTTGTTGCCAGGAGCAGGGCAAAAAATGGTTACACTAACTTGTCTATTTTGGCCTCGAATTTGGAATTCCCTTTGAATTCCTTGCAATATGCACGTTACAAAGTTATTCACTGAAGTATGAATTGTTGGGAACTCACTTTTCAAAATGTTATGCAAATAAAGCCAAACTGAAAACTGACTTGGATAATTTTTTTCATTTTCACCTAAAACTTCAAATTAGCTTTAAATTACTAACAATTCCCACTTTAATGGATAACTCTGCAAGTGAATAGTCGTCTTTAAACTTTGAACTTTGTTTGGGTGCTCGCTTGGTGTGTGTGTGTGTGTGTGTGTGTTAGTGTGTGTGCATGTGTAGCACTGTGTGTAAATGTCTGAGTGCATGTCTGTGTTTCTGTGTATATTAAATGCTTTGTCTATTAATTATGAGAAATCTAAGAATGTAATGAAATAGACTGTAATCGGGATCTATCCCCATATAGTTTAGTTATTTGCTGTACTCTTATCTTTATACACTATTTAATTATATCGGTATAAAATAATCAGGAATAATCAGGAAAGCTCTATTGTGATTGGCCCCTATGACAGACACAGTCTATTTTAGTACAAAATTGTCATAATTAATAGACTAAGCACTTAATGTATTGTATATATTATCGATGTGGTAAATCCATTAATTCCCTTCTTATTCCCTTCTTATTTTCCATCTTGGCTGATTAGCAGCAGGCTGTGCAGCAGTGTGTGTCGTAGTAAGTGTAGACAGTGTAGGTAGCAGTGTGCGTGTGTAGCAGTGTGTGTCGTAATGCGTGTAGACATTGTAGGTAGCAGTGTGCCTGTGTAGCAGTGTGTGTGGTAGTGAGTGTAGACAGTGTAGGTAGTAGTGTGTGTGTGCAGCAGTATGTGTCATAGTGAGTGTAGAGTGTAGGCAGCAGTGTGTGTCGTAATGAGTGTAGACAGTGTAAGTAGCAGTGTGTGTAGTAGTGAGTGTAGACAGTGTATGAGCCACAGTGTGTGTCATAGTGAGCGTAGACAGTGTAGTTAGCGATGTGTGTGCACAACAGTTTGTGTAGTAGTGAGTACAGATAGTGTAGGTAGCAGTGTAGCAGTTTGGGTTGTAATGTGCAGAAAAAAAGGCAGCTGTAGGCGCTCGCTATAATATGAACAGGCAGTAAATCTATAATGATTCCAAAACCTGGCATAAGATACAGAAATGTGACAAAACAAGTGATATACTGTGCCAAATTAGAAAATATTAACTGGAAGGAAGGATATGCCCTTATAACTTGTGACATTGAGTCAAATAAGTTTCATAATTGAAGGGATCAAAATGATTTTAACTAACAACTATTTTTGGTTTAATTATGCTTTTTACATTCAACGAAATGGTACGACTATGGGGACCAGGTTTGTACCTTGCTATGTCAACCTCTTCATTATTGAGTGGGAGGAAAGATCTGGGTGGAGGGGACATGGCTGGGTGGGAAGCCTGGTTGCCTACTATAGATATATATATATATATATATATAGTCTCTTTTTCGTTTGGGATGGTACCATTCCTTCAGCACAAGATTTTATTAAATTTTTAAATAATAACAAAGATGGGATTAAACTAACTGCAGATTTTAGCACCATGAATGTTACTTTTTTAGATCTAGATATTTTATTAAGGAGAATAAAATCCATACAAAAACGCACTTTTAAAAAGTTCATGTTGATAATTTCATAGAAACAAACAGTTGTCACTATAAAAGTTGACTGTTTAGCATACCAAAAATCCAACTGCTAAGACTAAAGAGAAATTGCTCAGAAATTGACACATTCAGTACTCAAGCCATCGAGATGAAAAGTACATTTATTTAAAAAGGTTACAATTCCAAATTAAAAGATAAAATTATAGATACAACAAAACAAACCAATAGAAATATCCTGATAAAAATGGAGGGGTTTGACCATAACATCAAAAATAAAAAAGATTTTACCTTACCCATAATATTGAACTATGATAATAAAAATAAAACAGATTAAAAAGATTATTTAAAAAAAAAAAACTTGGCATCTGTTACAGGAAGATGAACTATTAAAAAATGTGATTCCAGATAATCCAAGAATATTTTTTAGAGGGGCTCCTAGTTTAAAAATGCACCGTACAAGAAATTATACACAAAAAAGTGATTCTAGCACCATAACCAATTTTGAAAAAAACAACCAAGGTTTTTTTTAAGTGCAATTGTTGCGTTGCATGCACAAAGACATAAAAAAACAGACAAACATATAACCACTTTTAAATCAAATAAGACCAACAAAATATACAACATTACCTGTAACAGCAAGAATGTTATATACCTGTTGGAGTGCTCTTGTGGCCTCCAGTATGTAGGGAGGACAATTAGACCCTTCAAAATCAGAATAAGCAGGCATTGCCGCAACATAGAGAAAGGTTTTAAAAACCACATTGTCTCTTCACATTTCAGTGTACATAATAATGACCCCCAAAAAATCAAATTTCATGGGCATTTCAATCCTTACTAAACACTGGAGAGGCAGAGACATGGTTAAAAAATTCGGAAAAACAGAGATGGAGTGGGTGTAAATTTAGACACTACACCCTAATGGCCTCAACGTGGTTTTTGACCTTTTTAATTTTTTATATTGTCCATTTTCATAGTATACTTTTTATAGTGTCTATTCTTACCTAAAAGCATTTTTCACCCTCATTATAAGCTTTTAATTTTTTTTTTATAAATGGTGGTATTCTCAATATTTTTCCTAGCTAAATATTTTTAATCATGTGTCAACCCTCTCTAGAATTGAACTATACCTGTTTCCTCATGTAATTCAATGAATATATGATCCATAGAGTTGTTCACTTTATATTTTAACCTCACTGAATTAAAATATTCTAGCTAATATACATTTTTAAATATATGTTTTCTTCACAAAAAACTTTCTATATGTAAATACTGCTATGCACTTTAATTATTATGGTACATGTATGGGTGAAAATAGTTCCTTCATACAAATACTATGAAGCTGTCCATGTTGTGATGCATATTTAAAAAATATATTCCTTTCACTTAATTTAAGTATTTTAGCTAATATATGATTTTAAATGTTTTTCTTCACAAAACATGTTTTATATACAAATTTCGCTGTGCACTATAATAAGTACAATATCTATATGAAAAAACTTAGTTCGACCTCCCTTTTTGCTATTCTTAACATATAAACTCTTACCATCTTGCTCTCAACCAAAATGGCCGATGAGAACGTGGACTTCATTTCCTCTGACGCAAAAGGACAAAAGACTACACATCCCACAATGCCACGATACAAGTGAGTCGCAGCGCGTAATTTCCAGGCGACGCACGCGACCCGAAGAACCAGGAAGTAAATTAGCGCACCTAATTCTACTAATTGGAGATTAACTTCCTATATAAACTCGGACATTCTGAGGATCATCCACTAAGGAAGCCCCGTTGGGAGAAACGCGTAAAGTGTGACCTTAGAGAAGTTCTTTATATCTATATATTTTATTATTGTATTTTATGTATTGGTAACATTACTTTTAATCACTATATATACAAATAAAATTAATTGTTTTTAAAGGAGCACTTTAGGGTCAGGAACACAAACATGTATTCCTGACCCACCATCTAGCCCCCTGGGCCCCTCATGCCTCCCTAACTATAGTAAAATCTGACTTGTTTGCAAGTCTGCAGCTGCTGGCTCTGCCCCTATTCTGACATCAGAAGAAGTGGTAGCCTGATCCAATCACAATGCTTCCCCGTAGGATGGCTGAGACTGACAAAGAGGCAGATCAGGGACAGAGCCAGCACAATTCAAACACAGCCCTGGCCAATCAGCATCTCCTCATAGAGATGAATTGAATCAATGAATCTCTATGAGGAACATTCAGTGTCTGCATGCAGAGGGAGCAGACGCTAAATGTTTGGATGCATTTTAGGCAGCCATGATCCAGGAAGGATCTCTAACAGCCATCTGAGGAGTGGCCAGTGAAGTTATCACTAGGCTGTAATGAAAAGACAGTGTTTACAGCAAAAAGTCTGAAGGTAATAATTCTACTTACCAGAACAAATTCAATAAACTGTAGTTGTTCTGGTGACTATAGTGTCCCTTTAATATCATATCCAATTTGTTTTTTTTCTGCTGAACAACTATCCTGGTTCCTGCACATCTGTGGGTGGTGATTATACCACCAACGTTTCATACCACCAGAGCTAGGTTATTGCTCTCCAAAGTGTAAGTAGGATACTTTGTTTTAACATATTGCACTATTAGACCCTCTCTGCTTTATTTTACATGCTGGAGTCGTTACGGACACATAAGATTGTGGATCTACATATATCACAAGATGGGGATTGCACCGTCAAAGCGCTAAACAAAAAAGTACAGTAGCTTATAAAAGTGTGAGTGAGTTACCTATATATCTAACTGTCTGTAAAAGCATTAAGACCTATTGCACAATTTTTTTGTTGTATTTCTGTTTCATTTTGAGGTTTTTCTGGTACTGAAATACAACATTAATTTACTCCAAAGAGAGTACATATATATACATCTATTTAATATACATAATTGGGTTAAGGTTAACATTGAGTGTACCCGTGGGATTTTTTAGTTCTGTTTGATGCGGTTTATCACTTGTGTAGACAGTGTAGTTAGTAGTGTGCCTGTGTAGCAGTGTGGGCTGTAATGTGAGTAGCAGTGTGTGTAGTAGTGAGTGTAGACAGTGTAGGTAGCAGTGTGCCTGTGTTTTAGTGTGGGCTGTAATGTGAGTAGCAGTGTGTGTGTGTGTTGCAGTGTGAGTAGTAGTGAGTGTAGACAGTGTAGGTAGCAGTGTGCGTGTGTTGCAGTGTGTGTAGTAGTGAGTGTAGACAGTGTAGGTAGCAGTGTGCCTGTGTTTTAGTGTGGGCTGTAATGTGAGTAGCAGTGTGTGTGTGTGTGTGTTGCAGTGTGTGTAGTACTGAGTGTAGACAGTGTAGGTAGCAGTGTGCGTGTGTTGCAGTGTGTGTAGTAGTGAGTGTAGACAGTGTAAGTAGCAGTGTGCCTGTGTAGTAGTGTGGGCTGTAATGTGAGTAGCAGTGTGTGTGTGTGTGTGTGTGTTGCAGTGTGTGTAGTAGTGGGTGAAGACAGTGTAGGTAGCAGTGTGCGTGTGTTGCCGTGTGTGTAGTAGTGAGTGTAGACAGTGTAGGTAGCAGTGTGTCTGTGTAACAGTGTGGGCTGTAATGTAAGTAGCAGTGTGTGTGTGGAATCAAGATCAGGAAAAAGGTTCAGCGCTGGTAGGAGACAGAGAGTATAATAACAAGGCAGCACACCTTAAAAAGGGGAAATCCCCTCTGAACCCCTTAAAATACAATGGAGAAAAAGAGAGAAAATAAGGATGCACCTAAAACAAGTGGAAATGATAAAATAATAATATGGGAATAGCAGCAGTAGCAAATGGTCCAAAAAAGTGTCCAAATATACTATATGAATGGAATAATCACGGTACCTAATAGTCCAAATATAAAATGTCCAAATGTGCAAATAGTGGTCCTAGTAGTCCATCAAAAGGGTATGTAACGTCCTGGATGAGATATGCGAGAAGAGCAGAATAGAGAGAAAAACTCCAATGGTGTAGTATAAAAACAAAATATGGATATTTTGTAAATATTTGTGGAACTACTCACAATATTCAGAGCTTAAATCCAGCTCTGGTATGGATAGCGTGAAGTGGAATGATCCCCACTCAAGGATATGTGGTGCTCCTCTTTTGGTCCTTTGGTGAACAGATGGAGTCCAACTCGGGATAAAAATAATAAAAAATATAGTGCTCACTGAATAGTGAATAAGACGATAAAATTAAATAAAATATACTCACGGTATATAGAGCAGACGTACTGCTCGGTGGATAGCTTATGGGTGGTATAATCCCCACCTTAAGGATTCTTTGGTAGTCCAATGTGGTCATGGTCAATGGTAGTTAGGTCTGAATAAAATAAACTTACATAAAATATAATAGCAAATAATATAAAAGTGGAAAGAGGAATGTGGCAAACCAGTGTAAAATAGCCAGATATTTAATGACACTTTGATTATAAAAAATGAAAAAAAGTTTCTATACGCGTTTCGCCACAATAGGCTTCATCAAGTAGAAACAATATACAAAGAAAAAAGCTTGTGTGTGTGTGTGTACCTGTCTTAAATTGTTACAGTCTTCTCCCCTCTCCATGGCTAGGGCACTGGGTAACCTTAATTCGGCTTTGTGGAGAACGGGAAGGATAATAAGTATACATGTGAGACTTGCAGCAGAGACCTTTCTGTTCTCTATAACATGTGGGAATATGACCCAACCACCCTGACACTCATTACAGGACCACAGTTAAACGTTGACCTTCAGGGAGGGGTACATAGACATTGTGGCAGACACATATAATGAAATTAAATTACGAGTAGTCTCTGATGTCAAGTGTTGGAAATATTCTATGAGCTTTAAAGCTAGTTTCAAGTGACTGTCCCCTCTATCCATCTATCTATCTATCTATCTATCCATCTGTATCTATCTATTTATCTATCTATCCATATATCCGTCCGTCTGTCTATCCATCTATCTATCTATCTATCTATCTATCCATTTATCTATCTATCTATCTATCTATCTATCTATCTATCTATCTATCTATCTATCTATCTGTATGTCTATCTATCTATCAGTCTATCTATCTATCCATCCATCCATAAATCCATCTATCTATCCATCTATCTATCCATCTATCTATCTATCTATCTATCTATCTATCTATCTATCTATATATCTATCTTTCTATCTATCTATCTATCTATCTATCTATCTATCTATCTATCTATCCATCCATCTATCTATCTATCTATCTATCTATCTATCCATCCATCTATCTATCTATCTATCTATCTGTCTGTCTGTCTATCTATCTATACAGTATCTATCTATCCATCCATCTATCCATCTATCTATCTATCTATCTATCTATCTATCTATCTATCTATCTATCTATCTATCCATCCATCTATCTTTCCATCCATCCATCCATAAATCCATCCATCTATCCATGTCTTTTAGCAAAGTTGGAAGTAGGTTATCTGCAATTCAGTTTTCAATTCCCAGCAGTCTGTAAGTTAGTGGATAAGTCCTGGTATAGTGTTTATCTCCCTCTACGGTTTCTTTGAGACTGTTCCAGGCAGATGGGAATTTTAGACATTATTAACCTCTGCCACCTCATGGCTAGAAAACAATTTATCTATTATCTATCTCTCTATAAAATAATACTTCCTCCATTCATCACTGGTGCTCAACAGCCGTGCTCCAGCTGCTGATCTCTAATGCATTGTGATCACATTGAGTTTAGGGGAAACACACAGTATTGCTTGTAGCTAAGCCAATAATTATAGTTCCAGGTGAATCATGAAATAAACCTGTTTTACCTGGTAACAGGAGTGAGTCATTTGCCCATTTATCGTTAAAGGGACACAGGCACATCAGAGAATATTTGGTGCACAGATTAACTTAATCTCCCATAGCTATGTGAGACCCTTGGGCTGGCTTGAATTATGGGAACTATTAGAAACTATCTGAATTAAAACAATTCAATACCCTGGATTGAGCAGGTTCGGTAAAACGTTATCAGATGTTTTTTGAGAGAGAAGATATGTAAGAAGTATTTTAGGAGAAAACAATGTTTATAACAGGCTCTGGAATTATCATTATAAACTACTACACCAAATGTGTTTAGATCCCCAAGACTGCATTATTATGGATTGCCAGCTGACATCTACCATTTGCCCATTCGTGCCAGGTTTTACTGTGAGCAGTATTTGTGTGTTTGAATGTAAGCATCTTTTTGTAAGGAGTATGTGTGTGTAAACATAAGAGACTATTTGTGTGTAGTGTTGTCATTTTAATGCAGTTGCATGTTTATATGTTCAGTTACTATTTGAAAGCAGTGGTATCCCTGTGTGTAGTATGTTTGAATGCAGTTTAGGGTTGGTGTCTTAATACTGACGCGTGTTTGTATGTAGTGTTGGTGTTTGATTACAACAGCGTGTTTGTAGTTTTGGCATTTAATTGCAGAGGTGTGTTTGCATGTAGTGTTGGCATTTGAAGTAGGGGTGTGTTTGTAGTGTTGGTGTTTCAATGCTGGGATGTATGCACATATACACATAGGGTGCCACACACACAGTGACACAGGTACACACATATACACACTGACACACAGATACACACATATACCCACACTGAAAAACACACTGACACACACACAGAGACACATACATATAACCACACATCTACGCACACAAGTACACACATAAACACACACAGATACAAAGATATGCCTACACATGCACACACACTTGCACACATAAGTTTAAAATTACATGTTTTAGCCACCTCCTGCTTCCATACCTTTTGGATGCAGAAGGATGGCTTCCCTGGGCTGGCTCAGGTGAGTCTGAGACTGTCCAGGCTGTCTGCAGTTCTCTCCCTGATAATAAAGGGCCGGCAATAATGGGGCTAAAGAGCTGCCCCTGATGAGATTTGCCATCTATCGGGTAGTGCTAAATGGATAGGCTAACTGATGGGCCCCCAACGCCTGCAAGCCTTGGTGCAGTCACACCGTCTGCACTGGAGGTGGTTCCACCGCTGTCTGGGTGCCGTGTTCCCCCTGGTTTAAACCTACAGTTGAAAACATGCAAAATGGCAATGTTTTCATTGCAGGGATAATCAGATGACGTGGCATTTACTTTAACTGATTGAAGTAGTTATAGTGCCTGGCAGGACAGGACTGTGAAAAAATTAATCCCAGGCATTCCTATAAGGGGACTTAAAAATAGCTCTGCCATAGACCAAGTATAATAAAAAAAATACAAATAGATATGTACCTTTCATTTAAATTAACAATATAATATGATGGCAGTTTTCATTTAATCTCTGACACAGTTCAAGGATAAGAAGCCATCGTAATGAAAGAGAATTCAAATTTCATCTCTCATTATCTTTAGTCAGGAAATGGGAGTAGCAGTCTCTGGCGCAAAAAGCTAATATAGCCATTATCATGGCCCATTGAGCTCTGGAAGAAAGGTAGGGCAATCGCCATACTCTAGCTCGGTGCACGTTTTCTCACTCAGGGCACACCAAAACTCTTCCCAGAATTCCGTGGCACATCACAAGCAAAGATATATTTAAAAAAATACGAGTAATAAAGTGCATACACAGAAATTACATTTATTTATTTATTTTTTTGCTCAATATAAGAACTGGATGCATATATTTTGCTCATATAATCAATATATACTTGTTATAAAATAATAATTAATGCCGTGATGTAATCATTACATCAACACATTAGTCATTTTTTAACAAGTGTATAGTTTATTTTAAGAAGAGGAGCTACTGGCTCGCAGTTTCCTCCTTGTAATAATTAAAAATAGAAGTGATAGGAAACTGTGTCCCCCTGTAAGCCTTAACCATACCCCGCAAGTATGGTCTGGTAAACTAAAAAGGGGAACTTGTGCCCCCCCTCCCCGTCCACACCAGTTAATTATTTAAATAATTTAAAATGTTTCAGGTCCCACTTTATTGGATTAGCAACTGGGCAGCAATAGCTAGTCATTTTTTATAGCAATGAGCAGCAACTGGCTACTCGCTATTTAGTAGACATTCATAATGAGGGACACAGTGTCCCCTCTCCCCCACCCATTTGTTGAGGGTGGGGAAACTAAATAATAATGGGGGGGTAAACCTATTGTCACCACCAACAATCACCCATTGACAGAAGGTGTGGGCACAAAATAATAAAGTGGGTGGTAGTCCTACTGTCTAACACCAGCCCCCACCCATCGGCAGCGGGAGGAGACCATAAATAATAAGTGAGAGTGGACCTATTGTCTCCCGCATACCACCACCCGTTGCAGCTGGTGGGCGCTCTTTATAATAATAAGGGTGGACCTATTGTCCCCACCCAGCCTCTATCCATTGGTGACGGGTGGGGGCCCTAAATTATAAGGTAAACATATGGTCCAACTGAGCCCCCACACAGTGGTTTGGGGCCCTAAATAATAAATGGAGTGGGGGTCCGCCCCCCCAAGCAACAATGGGTGGCGGCAGGGGGGACACTGTCACCTTCCCACCCGTTATTATTTTTAATAGCCCCAGGTAGGGGATGGAGTTTCTTTTAATTAGTTTCAACTCGCAGGGCACGGGAGGGGGCACTATGTCTCACCCAGTTAATTATTTAAATAATTTTAAATTTTCCAGGTCCCACTTTATTGGATTAGCAACTGGGCAGCAATAGCCAGTCATTTTTTATAGCAATGAGCAGCAACTGGCCATCGCTGTTTAGTAGACATTCACATCCAATGCATTCGGCACTGCGCTAGGTGATAATCTCGACCTACTCAGCTTGATGGGACTTGAAGTCCACAATAGCTTGGACTTTGCTAATCATTTGTGTTCCCAGTAACTGTGACCAAAGCAGCTATCTACCTTTATCATTGTGTCCTCAGAAACGACTCTTACAGCTAATGTTCCAAGTCACTCGTCTCTTTGTATCTGTGATTAACATTTCGTTTCCCGTGCCCATTCCTGACTCAACACAAATAATGGGGTACTTTACAATTCAATGTTACTGAGTATCCTGGGACTCGTTTTTCCAATCAGTGAGCCGCATCGGGCACTGCAATGCTAATTAAATGAATGTGGGTTTGAAAAAGAAGCTGCAAAATTCTAGCCAGTCAGTTATTTTTAATCAGATTAAAACGGGATTAGAATTTGGGAGAAGAATTCACAAATTTCCAGCTCATCTTTGAAGGTAGTCGTTTTATTTTTAATGCATTGCTTATAAAACTTAGAACAGAGTCTTTGGGAACACGTAATGGTTTTTGCTCAGTATATAAGAACTATGAAGTGCTATACTGATGAATCACAAAACAAAATAGACAATGAACTAAACCACTTGGTTTGTTTCGTGATTCACCCCATGACGTCAAAGAAAAAAGATAATTGATTGAATAATAGTGAATAAATGTTACTCACTGATAAAGTGTGAAGTGACCACCACAAAGAAAAATGAGCAGTTAAAAAATGTATATTTATGAATTTAAATGCTTAATATATAATATACAAACAGATAACTGTGATTTCTTTTTACTGCTCCCATTTTCCTCTCTTTTGCTAACTTTTTCAGACTTGATCTGCGAACCAAATGGTGCTAAATGTGCCTATCATTACACTGCAGTGTACTGCAATATTTTTACATAATATTTACATTTTGCATTCCCCCGACTGGCCAAGCACCGAAGGACATTGACGCTGAGATCGGGTGAGTAAATAAAGGGGGGAGGCAGAGGGAGCTATAGTGTTAGAATACAGATTTGTATTCCTAACATTACAGTATTTCTCTAATATAGACCGGAATCAGATTCATTAACTGTACGGTAAAATATTTATTGATAGAAATATTATGTATATATTTTGCATGAGAGATATGCTCATTTTCTGAGCCATTTTGGTTGGTCACGATAGATTTGTAAGAGATGCTCAGTGTAACCGTACTTGATACATGATGTTGCAATACCAACATACAGATATTATTTTTCCATTCTGGTAGCATATTTGCAAACAGTTCCATCATGTTCCTTGCCCTTCTAATGATATCTGTACAATATTTCTGCTTCTATACTAATAAATCAGACCTTTTATGAAATATTGCGAGATACTATATTACATCAAAAACGTTTTAACATCTGTTAAATAAAGCCAAATATACCAAAACTTTAACTGTGTACACCGACATCATTTTACATTTTCTTTGTATCTTTTAAGCACAGAAACCTGAGCACAAATTGTTCTTTAGCCTACGTGTATGTAAAAACGACTGAATGAAGGAGATAATGGGTAGAAATGACATGGATTGCAATTTGAAAAATAAAACAAGCAAATATTTTATATATATATTTTTTTTTTTATTGATCCAAACTTCTGTGGGCATCTCAAACTTTTTTTTTTCCACTTTCTAACTGTTTTAGAAGAAGTGATCTGCATAGAGAAATCTTATTTGTTTTTAACATATGGTTTATTTTTTTGAGGTTGGAGACTTACTGTCAAGACAGGAACGAGAAGAAAAATGGCTGATCTAAGAAAACATGTTTTTATTTGACGATTTATTCATGTATATCAGATTACTGCAAATACATCTCAAAAAAGGGTTTGTGTTAGCACACACCACACATCTTGTAAAGGTAATTAAGCTTTAATTATTGGTATAATTTTTTCCTCTAAGTGGTCCTCATGTGGCCTCAAAATCTGTGCACCTATAATTAACTGTACTCCGACTGCCAGGTTTCAGGAGGAAAAAAAAAACCTAAGAAAGTATTTGACGAGAAAGGTGGTTCAACACGTGAAGATAATAACGGTAATTACCTCTAAACAAAAACATAAAAATAACACAAGAAACAACAAAAATTCCATGAATTAAAGTACTAAAATAAAACAAAAAGGCTAAGCAATCTTGGCGAAGAAGTTTAGCAGACTCATGCATTGTAATTTTCTAGATACAATGTATAATTAGCATCCACCGGTAACAGCCATCGCATGGTAGAATATAAAGTGTATATGAACAAAACGATCCAGAGTGAAAAGTTACATGAGTTTTTGGATACAGTAGATATACATACTGACACACAAATGGTTTACAAACTATTGGGAACCAATGTTCTAGGAGCTTCTAGAGTCTAAATATCCAATCTTCATGTAATAAAAGCCAGCTGTGAGAAGAACAGTCCCTACTAGAATTCCTTTTTTAAGGTGTAACAAAGTTTTTATAAGCAGGTGAACTTAGAACCCTAGAACGTTTTCATCAAAGAGGGTCACATACATTTCAGTGTTAGTAAGAAAAGTATTACCATTATCAAATGGGGGGGGAGGGGGAGTAAAATATTAATGATAAAATAAAAGTTTGTGAGACACGGGAATAAAATGTCTTAAGGTATCTAGAAAGAGAGCAAGAAATGAATAAAACTGCTCAGGAAATCTTTTTTTATTACATAGTTACATAGTTACATAGCTGAAAAGAGACTTGCGTCCATCAAGTTCAGCCTTCCTCACATGTGTTTTTTGCTGTTGATCCAAAAGAAGGCAAAAAAAACCAGTTTGAAGCACAATTTTGCAACAAGCTAGGAAAAAAATTCCTTCTTGACCCCAGAATGGCAGTCAGATTTATCCTTGGATCAAGCAGTTATTACCCTACATTGAAAGATTATATCCTTGAATATTCTGTTCTTGCAAGTATGCATCTAGTAGCCGTTTGAACATCTGTATGGACTCTGATAAAACCACTTCCTCAGGCAGAGAATTCCACATCCTGATTGTTCTTACAGTAAAAAAACCTTTCCTTTGCCTTAGACGAAATCTTCTTTCTTCCAGTCTAAACTCATGGCCTCGTGTCCTATGTAAAGTCCGGTTTGTGAATAGCTCTTTAGATTGTAAGCCCTCTTTACCTACTGTCTCCGTATGTCAAACATGTTTGGTTGGATTTAAATGTTTTTCTTACTGCAGTGGCCACTCAAGTGTAAGCTCACCTGCCATGCCAAGGCAAACCTCTTAGGTGAGCCCTGTGCTAACAATTCACCTTGCTTCCTTCAACTGCAGGCAACAAATTTTGGATGAGACAAAGAGGGGTTTTACTAGCACTATAGTGACCCACAATACCCCATCCCTCACACCACCCCCTTCCGCTGTAGCGCAGGAAGAGTTAGAGACCCTTCTGTCACTTACCTGATTAACCTTTCTGTTTCATTAGATATTTTTTTTTTACCTGTCGCTGAAGGAAGCAAGGTGAAGTGTTAGTGTAGGACTCGCGGTTTGCCTTGGCGTGGCAGGTGAGCTTACACTTAAATGGCCATTGGAGTGATACTAAAAACCTTCAGTTATTTAAATATGCATAGGGATTTGAGATAGTACTCAAGTAACTATTTTCTTTGGACTTTATTGCATTATTCATACATGCACCTTCATTTATTTGCTCATTAAATATAAACTATTTAAAAACCTTTCCTATGCTCAATATAACATGTTTTCCAATTCATCCTGAAATAGCGACATCATCTCAGTCATGTATACTGCGTTACAATCTTGTTACATTTCTATTCTCTTTGATAGCAGTCTGTTAATTACTCTGACACATCACTGTCAACTAAAACTCTTACAAATGCCCTTATCAAGCCGCAAATAGATTAAAACAAGATGTCACTAAATATTGTCCTTTTTCCTTTGCCTTTAATGCTGCCCATATCAATATTTTGCTTTCATCTATAACAGGCACCATATGCCTCTATAAGGTCATGTCTTGGTTTTTGTGCCAAATGAATCATATACCATGAAAATCACAAGCGATATAAGTGTGTTTCTCTTTCTAATATGTTAAAATATGTCAACGGAGATAAAATAAATGTATCAAGGAGACTCGTACAAAAGAAAATTGCATTATACTGAGACATGCGCAGGTCACTTAATTTCTAACTACCAGGATGTTCTGAAATAAAACATGTTGCAGCTATATCTTATCACCCACATTCAGCTGTAAATGTATACTCACAGCAAAGATTCGGTTTGATAGAGATTTAAGAAATGCAGAAGAAGCCTTTCTCTAGTAATTCTATAGCTTATGGAAATAAAGGATTTAACCCCTTAAGGACCAAACTTCTGGAATAAAAGGGAACCATGACATGTCACACATGTCATGTGTCCTTAAGGGGTTAAACAAAAATTTGATTCAGATTTCTCAGTTAATTTTTTCTAGTTAAAATAAGTTGATTCGTATAATTTATTCTTAAATAAAGTGGGTACATAAATAATTATTGTTTCTAAATATATGTTTGATTTAAATTTTTATTCAACCACTAGTCTTATCTAGAGAGTTACTGAAAATTTAGGATTTTTTTTAGAGCAGCAACATTCATTAAACTGAGCCGATTATTCAAAATTTCTGTAATTAATCTGACAGATACGTCAAATGGGAAGTCTCAGGAAGATTTGCCTGATGTTATCTGTGATTATGATCCCTCTGCATTGTTTGCTGTGTATATCACTTGTCACAATGTAAATTCTACTTTTTTTATTGCTGTTAAATACCAATTAGGGCTCTGTTTGATCAATTAGGGACTCTGTCACATCCTTATATTTTGAATTTTTTTTTTACATTTTGATAGTTTTTTATGTATTGATAATTTTTAATTTATGTATTTGTTTGACATTTTAATATTTTGAAAAATCATTTAAAAAGTTAATCCAAAAATATTATATCATTTGAAAAGCTTATCCAACAATATTAAATTAGGGCCTAAATACAAATGTTCACAACATTAGTGAGGCAATCAAGGTGCTCTTTAGACACAGAGAGATTAGGGGGTCCCATGTAAGACTCACTTTTTGCACCCCAATTAACTTGAATCGACAATAAATTTCTTGTTACGGCCCCAAAAATTAAAAAAAAAAAATGATACCATGCTTCTTTACCATTCAGGATGCCCTCCAGCCCAAATAAAAAAAAAAAAGCAAGCCACTTTTTGAATAATTGCATTTGAATTCGTTCTGCACCTCAATAAATTGAAAGTGATATGAAAAATTAAGCAAATGATAGACCCTTGCTCTCCCCACACCTTTCACTGCAAAACTCATTATCGTACAAAAGGTTTATTAGCTCTGAAAAGGGTTTTCACACATCAATTCTAAACACGGTTCTAAAACTAGTTGTGAAATAATGATTTTCAGAGGATGGGAAATATGCAATGATGTGATCGGCAAGATAAATACTGCACTGCAAACACAAACAGAATCTACCAAAATTCCATTAACATACAACACGACAACAAGACCAAAGGTTTGCCTATCCCTCTGGCACGAATAAGTATTGGGAATTAGACTGTGATTATCAAATAGTTAAAGAGTGACAGAAGACACTGATTCCGGAATTCCTGATTAGATCCACATGCAGATTTTAGGCAGATAGCAACAGAATATTCAATAATGAACATGTTCCCCTGCAGCACTTTGATATTTTTAGATGCAGTGTGAATTATGCTGCTTAGAGGGAATGGGAGAGAATGGTGATAATAAACCAGATAATATGTGTGTTTATTATGGATCCATTCTCTGCGAATGTATCTGGATTGAGCCAGCGCACCAGACTGAGTGTTAATGTTCGGCAGTAAAGTTGTGCCAGCCCAGATGAAGTAAACACCAAGAAAGATGGAGAGATTGAAGGCAGCTGGTCTGCTGCATTTTTTTTCAGTTTGTGTCTGTATGTGTGTGTCTCTTACATGTTTATTCGTCAAAGAGAGTGTCTGTTGTTTCTGTGTGTTTGTATGTGTGTGTGTGTCTGTATGTGTGTCTTTGTGTGTTTCTGTGTGTCTGTTGATGTGTGTCTGAGTGAGTGTGTGTGTCTGAATGTGTGTGTGTGTGTGTGTGTCTGAATGTGTGTGTGTCTGATTGTCTATGTCACTGAGTAACTGTGTGTTCGAGTGTTTGAGTGTGTGTCTGTATGTGTGTTTCTGTGTGTCTGTATGTGTGTGTATCTAAATGAGTGTGTGTGTGTGTCTGAATGTGTGTGTGTCTGATTGTCTGTGTCACTGAGGACTGTAAAAAATCGAGAGAGGAGAATAAACAAAAAAATAATTTAAAACATTTATAAAAAAATACTTTGAAAAAATATAATTTTTTTTTAAAGAATGTAAGTTGGAGGGGGGAGGACAATTTTAATGAGCTGAATAAAATTGAGAGTAGATGGATTTTCAATTTAGATACTCTGTCCCCTAAGGGACTTACTTTAGATTTTGAGTTAATCCATTTCCTTTAATTTTATTTGAGAAGGAGATGGAAAAGGGTGAGATTTTTATTCCCCCTTTCCTCTACTCTTTCTTTAAAGTATATATATTTTTTCTAAATATTTTTTTATACATTTTTAAAATATTTTTTTAAATGTTTATTTTCTTCTCTTCAATTTTGTTATAAAAACTGTCATTGTACAGGTGGTACAATGACAGCCCATACAATGACAGCCCATACAATTTTCCCACTTGATCCTATAATTTCTGGGCAACCTGGTGGATCTCGGTGGCTGTCCTTCCCCTCATATAAGTAAAAGCTATACATACCACCACCTCTCTTGCAGAGTTTATACAGCTTAACACTGTATCTAGACTTATTAGACATTATAAACTGCTTGAATCCCAATCTCCCTTTAAACCTCATTAGGGATTCATCTATATAGATGTTTTTTTTGGGGGGGGGACAAGCTTTCAACTTCTGATTAAATTGGGGTGAATTGTAAACAATTTTTCATTCTGCAAATTACTTTGTAGTCACTTGCTATTATTGTTAAAATGCATTAATCACAGTAATGTTTCATATCTGCGTCTCTTCATGGTTTGTGAAAAAAATTGGGGTACAGCAGATAGGATTCTTTGTCCAATGCAAGCAAACAATAGGCTTCTTTATGATCCCTATTAACATTGTGAGTGCCCAGAATTGCTTTAATTCCGGGACACTGGTTGAGTGCCATGCCACTTTCCTGGCAGTAAATCACGCATGGTTCTGGGCAATATACTGCTCAGCATAGAGATTGGTTTGCGTTCCAGTATTCACTAAAATTTTGTCCCCCAGGAACAACTGCATAAACTCCACTGGGCCACAGCTGGACACATTAGTCAGAATGCCTGGAGTTGTAGTAAAGATAGAGATGTCAGGGGTAAGATTATAGGGGGGGCACCCAGTTATCTGCGTCTTGAGCGGCGTCAGGGAACTTTTTTTGTTTTTTTTTACAACTTTTTTTTCCTTTAACCCCTAACTAACCTATCACTAAATTCCACAATTTCCCACTAACTTTAACCCACCCCAGCTAACTAAATCACCAAATAAAATAAATACAATAAATATATAAAAAATAACCCCTCAGGGTTAAAAAATAAATAAATCCAAGTTATCCCCTCAGGGTAAAAAGAACAAAAAACAGATTGCAGTAAAGTATTGTGAGCTGAATTCTGATCAAGCAAGCAGTGATCAAAAGGCAGGGCAATTGTTAAAATTGGTCTTACAGGGCTAAATTTGTTTTATTTTAACTGATACAATTTTATCCCAAGCAGCACAAAAAGTATCTCTCCGATCCATCTCTCTCCACTTCACAACTCAAACAGCGGTGGATGAAGGCGGATCACATATCCCAGCAGCACTGTGATCGCCGTGACTGGCTGAACTGGCGTTAATCTTAGTACATGACGGAATTATTCAGTCAGTTGTTTTCTTGGCACAGACTGAAATGGTGGGATTATTCCGTCAGTGATCCTTTAGGGGTTACATTTCTAATGGAAACCTTTCACCATCAAATGTTTCTACCTGCCAAAAAGATTGTGTGTGTTACTGGAGATATTTGACTTTGGCACAGTCTTATAGTTTCCTAGTGACAATAACTGAGGTGTCAGCATTGGGAAAAGTACTTGCGTCGTAAACTCACTTTTAAAGAAAATATGTGACTGAAACAAAAAAAGCTTATTACACTGTAATACAATTTAAACCCAGGCAGAGTATACTATATTTTACGCAGATAATCTCAGGTTCTTGAATCACATCATCAGTTTACTTATGATAACATTATACAAATATATTCGGGGCCAATACAAACCATTGTGTGGAAATCTATTCACAAACCGGACTTTACATAGGACACGAGGACATGCGTTTAGACTGGAAGAAAGAAGATTTCGTCTAAGGCAAAGGAAAGGTTTTTTTACTGTAAGAACAATCAGGATGTGGAATTCTCAGCCTGAAGAAGTGGTTTTATCAGAGTCCATACAGATGTTTAAAAAGCAACGAGATGCATACTTGCAAAAACAGAATATTCAAGGATATAATCTTTCAATGTAGGGTAATAGCTGATTGAGCCAAGGATAAATCTGACTGCCATTCTGGGGTCAAGAAGGAATTTTTTTCTTAGTTTGTTGCAAAATTGGAAGTGTTTCAAACTTTTTTTTTTTGCCTCTTTTGGATCAACAGCAAAAAACAAATGTGAGGAAGGCTGAACTTGATGGACGCAAGTCTCTTTTCAACTATGTAACTTAGATATTGCTGTAACTTCAAAGCTCCAGGAGTTTAGCTGCATCATCTAGCTTCATTAGATAATGTGTATGGTAAATCAGGGTAATGGATAGAATGCCCCTATACATCTGACCATCAGTCAGGTTTCACAGTGTATATCTGGGCTGCATGTAATGTATGTCCTTTGTATCATCAGTGCATCATCCTGATCAAACAATGGCTTTAAAATGAAAGCACTGTGTTCCATTAACACAATACCAGCACTGGGTAGTGAGTTGTCCAACCATTTCAATTTAGGCAGTGCTATCTACAGCAGCAGAGGGCCCCAGCAGCTCACTTCAAAGGTGTATTTTGCAAAACAAGATCCTAATAGATTTAGTAATTCAGTACGGTTTTTGTATTAAATATAAGTAAAAAGGAGCTTATTATCTGAGTGCAGTGGGTGCATCGAGAAATAAAATCACAAGGTACAGGTACCATTTCTTGCAGTAATAAAAGTGCCAATCTCTCATGCAATGTGGAGGATTAGACTCCTGTGGATGCCACATTTTGAAAGAGTCAATGATCCTGGTGTTTGGGGCTATCAAAATATTGTGACATTGGGGAGGACACAGACTCTGTGGATTCACCTTTTTAATAAGTGTATTTTAATAATATGCCACTTGGACTGTATTTACTTGCTAAAACTCTTGTCAAAAAAGATCAATTTAGAAACGTAACATTATACAATAGGGTCTGACACTGCCCAGTGTGCCAGTGCATACATAGACCCTCCAGACAGTCTGCCCACTGCTATGACAGTGGCAAGATCCCAGAGGCCAATCAGAGCGTTGCCAGAGCTCACAAGACAGCTATTCATGGTCTGCAAACAGCAGATTGCAAGGTGGATAGCCAGCCTCACTGGACCACCAGGAACCGGCATGTCCCCCTCCCTGTTGTTACTTTGCAGGGACCAAGGACATGCCGATCCCAGGGCTAGTGGAGCTGGCTATTCAGTCTGCACCTCCACTAGGTGCAGACTACGAATAACTATCTTGCACACTCTGGCAACATATGTATGTTTTTCTTGTTTTTGTTTTTTTTATAAAAAAAAATGTATTTATAACATCATTAATATAAATAATCAAGTCCATACCCCACCTATATACACACACACTACACCTCCCCAATACATATATTATACTTCTATACGCACACTACATCCCTTATACACACAGTGTATACATGATCTGTATAGCAAAACTGCTTCATTAAGCTACAGTTGTTTTGGTGACTATAGTGTCCCTTTAAGGACTAATCTCCAGTTCAAATCCTAGAGATTTAATGTTTTATTGCTATTTAGGTTTCATATAAAACAATTATATTAGGGCTGTAGTTGTTCAAGTGGCAGTCTATAGAACAGTTAATGTATCAGGCTTAGCTGACCACTTGATGAGGTTGATTAGAGTAATATTCCACATAAGCTGTTTAACAAGTGGTTGTTTCACTACCCCTTTAACATCAGATATATATTTTAAGTCCTATCAGACTCCAGTCCAGAATCTCACTGAGCATCATAGGAATTGTAGTCTAGCAGGGTTAGACAACTTCTTGCACTTAGTTTGGCATTACATACATTCTCCAAAGTATGGCTTGTATGTTCTTTTACCTCTGAACTCTACACTCTGCCGTGGCTGCGCACATCTTTTGACGGTACTGCTGGCGATGTGACAAACACAGGGATTATCTGTGCAGCCTTGCCACAGTGTCTGGTGTCAGCATGCTGTGTGTGTGTTGTCTAAAACTATGCAGAAATAAAAAATAATAATAAAAAGAAAGGTCTTCGAGATAATGTCTTTGCACCATTACCATTTCAGAAATTGCCTTGGGCGGCAATTTCCAGGGGGCGGCAAAAAACACTGCCCCCAAATGCCCAGGCAAATACCTTGTTTGCCTCTTTTACGGGAGCCCAAGAGCTGGCCAGCTGGCCACCTTTGGACTACCCCGGGTGGGCGGCGAGGGAGCACTTCCCCAAGCTCTATCTGCTCAGCTCCCTTGCGCGACCCACAGTAATGCCGGGAGCCAGAATATGATGTCATATTCTGGCTCCCGGCATCACTCTGCGGCGCGCCTCACCACCCGCCTGCCTGCACGTCCGGCCGCCTTCCTGCCCAGCAGCCCCACTGGTCCCCAGGTGAAATATCCACCCAGCTATCCCAAAAGTAGGGAAACTGAGTGGATTTCAATTCTTGAAAAAAATAATATTAATAATTGTGAATGGGGGAAATTTGTGTGTGTGTCAGTAAATGTGTGTGTGTCAGTAAATGTGAGTGTGTGAATGTGAGTGTGTGTCAGTGAATGTGAATGTGTGTCAGTGAATTTGAGTGAGTGTGTGTGTCGGTCAGTCAGTGTGAGTGTGTGTGTCAGTGAATTTGAGTGAGTGTGTGTGTCTGTCAGTGAGTGTGTGTGTTTCAGTGAGTGTGTGTGCCAGTGAATTTGAGTGAGTGAGTGTGTGTGTCTGTCAATGAGTGTGTGTCGGTCAGTCAGTGTGTATGTGTCAGTTAGTGAGTGCGTGCGTCTGTCAGTGAGTGCGACTGTCAGTGAGAGTGTGCGTCTATCAATGAATTTGTCAGTGAGTGTGTGTCCGAGTAAGTGATTTACTATCAGTGTGTATATGTCATTGTTTGTCAGTGTATATGAGAGTGTGTGTCTGTCAATGAGTGTATGCATCTATCAGTGTGTGTGCATCTGTCAGTGAGTGTGCGTGTGTCAGTGAGTGAGCGTCTGTCAGTCAAAGTGCGGCCTTGACAGGAAGGGGTGGGGAAAATTTAAATTGGGGGGGGTGCCCGAGCACCGTCCTGCCTAGGGCAGCACAAATCCTAAATACACCACTGCTTACAACGACCCTTTAAGCTCCACCTGGATGTAAAACACACCAAGTTATTCACAGCTTGCCACTTCGCCCTCTTAATATCCCAAGTAGATTTTACTGTTTCTTTCTGTGCCTTTGCTTTATTTACAAACCAATTCCACGAGCCCCTTCTTTACACTTCGTATTTGAAAACAATGACAGCTATTTAAGGAATACGTATATATTTATCTCTGGAGACAAGCACCTTTATTGTACAGTGTGTGCACTTGCTGTGTTATGGTGTCTGTGACGTATATAGTGTCTGGAACATATTGCGTTCGCATATTACGACGTTCTGCATGAAATAAAGGCTGAGGTTTTGCCTTGGGCACCAAAAACGTGTCTCTGGGTGGATTGAAAATGCCAGAGATAACATTTGTGCTACATTGCTGAAGTAGATTAAAAAGAAAACTGTGATAGCAAGCCCCAATGGATAAAGTAACCAAGAGAGGGATGGACTATTTACACAGACCATTGGAGGGACACTTTACTGATGGTCAATAGATGGAGTATATACTTTGCCTGGAATATCATAGAGAGGGGTGCTTTATCTATGTAGTTAAAGGAGGGGATAGTTTAGGGAAATGAGGGCAAATATTTGGGGTCATGTTTTTTTTTATATTAACATTGGTAAATAAATACAGTTCTGAAATGTGAGAATATGTTTTGGATTTCATTTTATTTCAGTGATTTATTTTTATGAAAATCTGAATGCAGATGAACAAAGTAACAGCCAGTAAGATCATTGATCAAATGTACTGTATCCCCAAACAAGGATGGATGCTGACTCTCAGTGGGAGGAGATGGGTAGATCCCAGCCCCACAGTCTCTGCCTTACAGATACTCATACAAATTACATATAAGAAATGAAAGGGACTAAAATGGCAGATTAAATTTAATGTAGAAAAATTTAAATTTAGGCATTTGGGGGTAAAATAATGCGCAAGCAACTTACACCTTAAATGGTAGGAAATTAGGGATAATAACACGAGAAGGATTTGGGAATTGTTATAGACAACAAATTAGGCAGCTATATGCAATGTTAAGCAACGGTTGCTTAGGCCAGTAAGTTATTATAATGTATAAAAAGGGCATTAGAATATAATTTTGACTCTTTATAATTCACTGGTAAAAGCACACCTTGAATGTGCTGTGCAATCATCTGGGAACCTGTTCTGAAGAAGGATATTATGGCACTAGAAAAAGTGCAGAGGTGGGCTACAAAATTGACTATAAAACCAAAGAATTGATATGATTGTGCAAAAGTATACAATTACCTACTGTATCACTAATTAATAAATGCTGCAACCAAATAAAACCATGGTAAACAGATTCCAAACAAACAAGCCATAAATCGGTGCACATTATCAATTAAAACAGTGCACAATTATCTTGTAATATATATCATGCAAATAGATACCAATTAAGGTGCATAAGTGACCACTAATTATTCATACAACATGGTACATAGAATAAGTGCAAATAAATCACCATATAAATAGGGACTGTCCCAGCGATCACCATATATTGTGTGTGATTTTCCAGCAGTTAATAAATATAACTCATATACTATCATAGTTTCTGATATTTGACAGTGTTGCACACGGACTAGTTTAGTTTCTGTTTTTAGATTCTTGAGATCATCGAACGGATATGTGCAAGTATATGAGTTATATTTATTAACTGGTAGAAAATCACTCACAGGATTTGGTGATTGCTGGGACAGTCCCCATTTAAGGGTCTTGTCCCACCATCCCAAATTGGTTCTCTTGTTTGCCGCTTTTAGGGACACCATGGACCTGTCCTGAAAATTATCAGAACCAGTGACACGATTCCCATCCCCTTTTACCAAACCCACCAGTGTCATTTCATGGAACGTCTATGTTGGGGTTTGTATGTGAGTGTGGCACATTTTGCATAGGATTTAGTGTGGATAAGAGTTTAAGTATTGAAAATGTGTAGGAAATTCGGAGAGCAATCTGCCATTTGCACAAAAATTTTGTGAAGTTTGCTCACTGGGCAAAGTAGGATTGAAGGAAGGCATTGTGAGGCAACATTGTTAGGGCACAAGGGCTGGCCACACTACATGACAAATGCTGGCATACGACACTAAAACTGAATAAACTGGACACAATCTGACAAACTAAAGAGTAAACAGCAAGGTTGCATAGTGTGGAGTAACAATTTACACAATCAGTGAGATATCCTCACAGGCAGTGACACTACTACACAATCAGTGAGATATCCACACAGGCAGTGACACTACACAATCAGTGATATATCCACACAGGCAGTGACACTACTACACAATCAGTGATATATCCACACAGGCAGTGACACTACTACACAATCAGTGAGATATCCTCACAGACAGTGACACTACTGCACAATCAGTGAGATATCCACACAGGCAGTGACACTACTACACAATCAGTGGGATATCCTCACAGACAGTGACACTACACAATCAGTGGGATATCCTCACAGTCAGTGACACTACACATTCAGTGAGATATCCTCACAGGCAGTGACACTACACAATCAGTGAGATATCCTCACAGACAGTGACACTACACAATCAGTGGGATATCCTCACAGACAGTGACACTACACAATCAGTGATATATCCTCACAGGCAGTGACACTACACAATCAGTGATATATCCTCACAGGCAGTGACACTGCACAATCAGTGAGATATCCTCACAGGCAGTGACACTACACAATCAGTGAGATATCCTCACAGGCAGTGACACTACACAATCAGTGAGATATCCTCACAGACAGTGACACTACTACACAATCAGTGGGATATCCTCACAGGCAGTGACACTACTACACAATCAGTGGGATATCCTCACAGACAGTGACACTACTACACAATCAGTGAGATATCCACACAGGCAGTGACACTACTACACAATCAGTGAGATATCCTCACAGACAGTGACACTACTACACAATCAGTGGGATATTCTCACAGGCAGTGACACTACTACACAATCAGTGGGATATCCTCACAGACAGTGACACTACTACACAATCAGTGAGATATCCACACAGGCAGTGACACTACTACACAATCAGTGAGATATCCTCACAGGCAGTGACACTACTACACAATCAGTGAGATATCCTCACAGACAGTGACACTACTACACAATCAGTGAGATATCCTCACAGACAGTGACACTACTACACAATCAGTGAGATATCCACACAGACAGTGACACTACTACACAATCAGTGAGATATCCTCACAGGCAGTGACACTACTACACAATCAGTGGGATATCCACACAGACAGTGACACTACACAATCAGTGAGATATTCACACAGGCAGTGACACTACTACACAATCAGTGGGATATCCTCACAGACAGTGACACTACTACACAATCAGTGATATATCCTCACAGGCAGTGACACTACTACACAATCAGTGAGATATCCTCACAGGCAGTGACACTACTGCACAATCAGTGAGATATCCACACAGGCAGTGACACTACTACACAATCAGTGAGATATCCTCACAGGCAGTGACACTACTACACAATCAGTGACATATCCTCACAGGCAGTGACACTACACAACCAGTGGGATATCCTCACAGACAGTGACACTACACAATCAGTGATATATCCTCACAGGCAGTGACACTACTACACAATCAGTGAGATATCCTCACAGGCAGTGACACTACTACACAATCAGTGGGATATCCTCACAGACAGTGACACTACTACACAATCAGTGGGATATCCTCACAGACAGTGACACTACACAATCAGTGAGATATCCTCACAGGCAGTGACACTACACAATCAGTGAGATATCCACACAGGCAGTGACACTACTACACAATCAGTGGGATATCCTCACAGGCAGTGACACTACTACACAATCAGTGGGATATCCTCACAGGCAGTGACACTACACAATCAGTGAGATATCCTCACAGGCAGTGACACTGCACAATCAGTGGGATATCCTCACAGACAGTGACACTGCACAATCAGTGAGATATCCTCACAGGCAGTGACACTACTACACAATCAGTGAGATATCCTCACAGGCAGTGACACTACTACACAATCAGTGAGATATCCTCACAGGCAGTGACACTAATACACAATCAGTGAGATATCCTCACAGGCAGTGACACTACTACACAATCAGTGAGATATCCTCACAGGCAGTGACACTACTACACAATCAGTGAGATATCCTCACAGACAGTGACACTACACAATCAGTGAGATATCCACACAGGCAGTGACACTACTACACAATCAGTGAGATATCCTCACAGACAGTGACACTACACAATCAGTGAGATATCCTCACAGGCAGTGACACTGCACAATCAGTGAGATATCCTCACAGGCAGTGACACTACACAATCAGTGAGATATCCACACAGGCAGTGACATTACACAATCAGTGATATATCCTCACAGGCAGTGACACTACTACACAATCAGTGAGATATCCTCACAGACAGTGACACTACTGCACAATCAGTGAGATATCCTCACAGACAGTGACACTACACAATCAGTGAGATATCCTCACAGGCAGTGACACTACTACACAATCAGTGAGATATCCTCACAGGCAGTGACACTACTACACAATCAGTGAGATATCCTCACAGACAGTGACACTACACAATCAGTGGGATATCCTCACAGGCAGTGACACTGCACAATCAGTGAGATATCCTCACAGACAGTGACACTGACAATCAGTGAGATATCCTCACAGGCAGTGACACTACACAATCAGTGAGATATCCTCACTGACACTACACAATCAGTGGGATATCTCACAGGCAGTGACACTACACAATCAGTGAGATATCCTCACGTGACACTACACAATCAGTGAGATATCCTCACAGGCAGTGACACTACTACACAATCAGTGAGATATCCTCACAGGCAGTGACACTACTGCAATCAGTGAGATATCCTCACAGACAGTGACACTGCACAATCAGTGAGATATCCTCACAGGCAGTGACACTGCACAATCAGTGAGATATCCTCACACTACTACACAATCAGTGAGATATCCTCACAGGCAGTGACACTACTGCACAATCAGTGAGATATCTCACAGACAGTGACACTGCACAATCAGTGAGATATCCTCACAGGCGGTGACACTGCACAATCAGTGAGATATCCTCACAGGCAGTGACACTACTACACAATCAGTGAGATATCCTCACAGGCGGTGACACTACACAATCAGTGAGATATCCTCACAGACAGTGACACTGCACAATCAGTGAGATATCCTCACAGGCAGTGACACTACACATCAGTGACATATCCTCACAGGCAGTTACACAATCAGTGAGATATCCTCACAGGCAGTGACACTACACAATCATTGAGATATCCACACAGACAGTGACACTGCACAATAAGTGGGATAGCCTCACCGCAGTGACACTACACAATCAGTGACATATCCTCACAGACAGTGACAATACACAATCAGTGACATATCCTCACAGGCAGTGACACTGCACAATCAGTGAGATATCCTCACGAACAGTGACACTACACAATCAGTGAGATATCCACACAGACAGTGACACTACTACACAATCAGTGAGATATCCTCACAGGCAGTGACAATACACAATCAGTGAGATATCCTCACAGACAGTGACACTACACAATCAGTGAGATATCCACACAGACAGTGACACTACTACACAATCAGTGAGATATCCTCACAGGCAGTGACAATACACAATCAGTGAGATATCCTCACAGGCAGTGACACTACTACACAATCAGTGAGATATCCTCACAGACAGTGACACTACACAATCAGTGGGATATCCTCACAGGCAGTGACACTGCACAATCAGTGAGATATCCTCACAGACAGTGACACTGCACAATCAGTGGGATAGCCTCACCCGCAGTGACACTACACAATCAGTGAGATATCCTCACAGGCAGTGACACTACACAATCATTGAGATATCCACACAGACAGTGACACTGCACAATAAGTGGGATAGCCTCACCCGCAGTGACACTACACAATCAGTGACATATCCTCACAGACAGTGACAATACACAATCAGTGACATATCCTCACAGGCAGTGACACTGCACAATCAGTGAGATATCCTCACAGACAGTGACACTACACAATCAGTGAGATATCCACACAGACAGTGACACTACTACACAATCAGTGAGATATCGACACAGACAGTGACACTGCACAATCAGTGAGATATCCTCACAGACAGTGACACTGCACAATCAGTGGGATATCGACACAGACAGTGACACTACACAATCAGTGAGATATCCTCACAGGCAGTGACACTACACAATCAGTGGGATATTCTCACAGGCAGTGACACTACTACACAATCAGTGGGATATCCTCACAGACAGTGACACTACTACACAATCAGTGAGATATCCACACAGGCAGTGACACTACTACACAATCAGTGAGATATCCTCACAGGCAGTGACACTACTACACAATCAGTGAGATATCCTCACAGACAGTGACACTACTACACAATCAGTGAGATATCCTCACAGACAGTGACACTACTACACAATCAGTGAGATATCCACACAGACAGTGACACTACTACACAATCAGTGAGATATCTTCACAGGCAGTGACACTACTACACAATCAGTGGGATATCCACACAGACAGTGACACTACACAATCAGTGAGATATTCACACAGACAGTGACACTACACAATCAGTGGGATATCCTCACAGGCAGTGACACTGCACAATCAGTGAGATATCCTCACAGACAGTGACACTGCACAATCAGTGGGATATCCACACAGACAGTGACACTACACAATCAGTGAGATATCCTCACAGGCAGTGACACTACACAATCATTGAGATATCCACACAGACAGTGACACTGCACAATAAGTGGGATAGCCTCACCAGAGTGACACTACACAATCAGTGACATATCCTCACAGACAGTGACAATACACAATCAGTGACATCCTCACAGGCAGTGACTACACAATCAGTGAGATATCCTCACAGACAGTGACACTACTACACAATCAGTGAGATATCCTCACAGACAGTGACACTACACAATCAGTGAGTGAGATATCCTCACAGACAGTGACACTACTACACAATCAGTGAGATATCCTCACAGGCAGTGACACTACTACACAATCAGTGGGATATCCTCACAGGCAGTGACACTACACAATCAGTGAGATATCCTCACAGGCAGTGACACTACACACAATCAGTGGGATATCCTCACAGACAGTGACACTACTACACAATCAGTGAGATATCCACACAGGCAGTGACACTACTACACAATCAGTGAGATATCCTCACAGGCAGTGACACTACTACACAATCAGTGAGATATCCTCACAGACAGTGACACTACTACACAATCAGTGAGATATCCTCACAGACAGTGACACTACTACACAATCAGTGAGATATCCACACAGACAGTGACACTACTACACAATCAGTGAGATATCTTCACAGGCAGTGACACTACTACACAATCAGTGGGATATCCACACAGACAGTGACACTACACAATCAGTGAGATATTCACACAGACAGTGACACTACACAATCAGTGGGATATCCTCACAGGCAGTGACACTGCACAATCAGTGAGATATCCTCACAGACAGTGACACTGCACAATCAGTGGGATATCGACACAGACAGTGACACTACACAATCAGTGAGATATCCTCACAGGCAGTGACACTACACAATCATTGAGATATCCACACAGACAGTGACACTGCACAATAAGTGGGATAGCCTCACCCGCAGTGACACTACACAATCAGTGACATATCCTCACAGACAGTGACAATACACAATCAGTGACATATCCTCACAGGCAGTGACACTGCACAATCAGTGAGATATCCTCACAGACAGTGACACTACACAATCAGTGGGATATCCACACAGACAGTGACACTACTACACAATCAGTGAGATATCGACACAGACAGTGACACTGCACAATCAGTGAGATATCCTCACAGACAGGGACACTACACAATCAGTGAAATATCCACAGGGACAATATCACTATATAAGCAGCAGTATACGAAGAAAGATCAGCCACAGAATCAACAGTATATCTAAATAAATCATGAAGCTACAAAATCACACAGACACACAAAGTCATATGAAAAAAATCTAAGGACAATTTTACCAACACCTGCCATTATTAATGGCCTATGACCACACCACAGAGTTTTAAATCTCAGCTTTTTATACCAAAAAGAAATGTACATTCTGAGTTAATAAACCGTACTGTTAATACTTTTTAAACAAACCCCCCCACACACCCATTCTATATTTCCGGCTGTATCCTCATATTTTTTTCCTCTGTATGCCTGATTTTGCACTGGTCCAAGTTAACATTGCTCAGTGTGTTTAATCCTAGATTCTCCATAGAGCTTTAGTCTCCAAGAAGTTGCACGCACGTAGTATGTACGTAGGTGGTGACGTTAAGAGATTTAACACACTATGGAACTAAAGGTGCAGAGAGCTCAGCCTGGAGGCTCTTCCAGCTTAATGGAAATGAGGAAATAGTTACACAAGGGATAAATCCTGTAACTTCACTTGCTTACCCAGTAGGGGGAGCCAGAATAGCAGGTGCACAATCACTAATTCAATCTCTTGTTACATAATAAAAGTAATTATATCAAAGTATTTAATAAGGACATTTAAATTTAACTTGTCAACAGTTTCAAAATATGTCCTGAGGTCCAGGTTAGTTGCCCAACGCAATGGCTTCTTTTTATGAGATGTTCTTACCAGCAGCAACTGAACCTTGGACAGCTATAGATAGGAAGATAGGCTGTAATAAGATGAAGTTAGCTGTTTGTATTTTGGACAATCAGAGACTCAGGATATGGTTAGTAATGTCTACGTTGCCCACAATCAGGTATTAAAGGGTTTGCTAACACTCCGGGCTTGGGTAAACTTTTTTAAAGTGACTTTTTTAAATCACATCAACCTCTATTTTAAACAATAAGGAATTTATTATTATCGTTATTAGTATTATTATTACACAGATAATCCACAGTTTGATAAATTAATTTGGCAGTTCAATGGATAGCTACTCCACCTGTGGAATCTCAGGGTTGAAGGTTTTATTGCCGGCGGGTTCAAATTAATCTAAATTTTTCAGAGCTCATTAATAATGAGTGCTCTTATGTTGGGGAGAGCCCAGGGAATAAGAGATGTACCCTTCCTGCTTAAACACTGTTGTATGACTATTGTTTTTATTTTATTATAATTATTGTTAGTAGCACGTTAAACTGACTCCCGGATTACGATGGCCACCATGTGTATGATACTCTCTATATAGCAGTCCATTTAAATCTCAGTCCCGTTTCCCACTTGGCGTCTGTACATCCTATCCTGCCATTGTCCCCTCAACTTGATAGCCAGAGAGACTCTAGCAATTTGATCAGACGCGGAGATTCTCAGGTCTAGAGAATAATTTACATCGCATTGAGATGTCTTTCTCTAAGCCACGTGTCAGGTCTTTCTTTTCAGCCACTTTTTTAATGCGGGTCCCAAGGGTCAGCTTTGGTTTTGTGCATTTGTTAATCTGCTAAGAACAGTAACGAGCTATGATTAGATGAGAGGCATAGAGGTGTTATCTGTCTAAACACAGAAGTGAAATCTTTGGATTTGAGAGGGAGCACAGAATGTAAACAGCTGGATGTTAACTGCGATCTCTTCACCCGTAGCTTTCCTATTATATATCTCCTCATGGGTTTAGCTCTTTGTTTCAAAACCAGCGATGTCCCTTCCAGGCGATTTACTTTTTATTCTTCCCCTATCCAGAAATCCTGGCATTGTAACTCCCAAATCCGATGGCTCACAAGGACAGAAAGGTACAACGACAATCCTCTTCGCTACGAATGCTGAATTCTTCAAGGTTTCACTAAATAAAGGTATGCCTCGGTATGCTGCTAAAAGAGGGCAAGCTCGTTGGACAGGGATATGTTTCATATCATTATTTAGGAGGCAAGATTGCAATTCCCTGTGTAGTGAATTACTTTATGCATAGTTCTGGCATAATGCAAAATTCTGTTTTCCCCACATATAATTTTATTTAATAAAACCGACACACAAACAGGTTCATTCAGAACTTCACTGTTTACATTAACTTCCAGAGTTATTTTAATATAATCTGTAAAAAGATATTTTTCACAATCAACAATTAGGTTTGTTAAAGATATTTACAGTGTGTTTATATTGACATATACACGCACACACAAATACGTGTGTGTGTGTGTGTTTGTGTGTGTGTGTTTGTGTGTGTGTGTTTGTGTAAATATATATATATAGAGAGATTTTTTTAAATCAAGAAGAAAACTGGACCAGCTTATAAACTTTCCAAAATCATACAATTTAACAATAATCCTGTTACCTTGCTACGGAATATGTATAATGTAAGCATCTTTAGTGTAAGCATCTTTAAGGAAAATGTCAATTTTGAACATGCAGTTATTTCCAGAATGCCTTTCTCAAACTTTTTACATCTTCCCAAAATGTCACCGATTCTGAAAGAGGTGTTGCATTTCAGAATCACGATATTTTAATAATTATACTCAAAAAGACATTTAAAACAAAAAAAAACATATCAATGGTATAAAATCTGCAAATGAATCAAAATTGTAAAGAGATACAAATATATTGATAGATAGAAAGCTATGTAAATGAAAAACGCATTTCATTTTAAACTATAAATATTGCCCAGTCTACATAAAAACTAATTGTGCAACATGAATGCAATCTATCTATTCTTGTCTATGCATGCAAACACACTATGCTTTTACAAACAAAACACAACACAAACACTTTAGTGGCTTTACGGAAGATTCAAATAAAAAACAAAGAATCCTAGTTCCACATTGTATTTCTAATTAGTTCCCTGTTTGTATAATTAGTGTTTTTTTTTTTTTAAAAAGACAGCAAAATGAAATAGCAATACTTAAACTGAAATAAAGATGCAAATAACAGGTCCTTACTTTTGCGAACACACTGAAGGCAAACCGTTTGTAGCAGACGTCAGTGTGCACACATTCATTATACAGCCCTGTGATAGCTTGTATCAACAATACAAAGAAATCAGTCTCCTACCTCCAGTCAGTATCTGCACTCCTTCTGATATGTGATGCTAGCAGTGCTCACGGTGGTATATTTATACTCAAGCATTCCCCCATCCTCTTAGACACTCACTCACATGCATCGTTTTGCTAGTGTGTGTGTGTGTGTATCCACCCCCTCATGGATCCTGAGTGACAGACTAACAGATGAAGACCGGCAAATTTCCTCCTACCCCTTTTTCAGTATTTTTAAGTAAAATCTACGTCACGTCAAGGTCCGTTTGTTGGATCTCTTCAATATGTATGAATCGGTGGACGGTATCATTGACACTGTGATTGCAAGTGGTTAACGGGGGTTTGGAGAGGGTATTGTCCAACTTATCTGACATGTGGACTGTTGGGACATCAGATAATTAGCAGTCCTTATCACAGACGATGTCCCCAACGCACAATACGTGTATCCCCTGTGCTTCGCTACTCGACACGGGTCACTAAGAGCGACGTAAAGGGATGGGAAGGACGGAGAGATGGATGTTCTCAGAAAATTGAGAAACAGAAAATAATGATTAGAAAGACTACATCATATTACTCAGCGAAAGAAACGGGTTGTATTCAATAAACTGATAATTGATCATTGTAGATCATTGACAAGGGAATTACAAACGTTATGCCAAAATAACCAGAACTGGAAAATGTCTTCACATATTTATTTTTACCAAAATTCTTGTTCTCCACACTTTGCAATTTAGTAACCTTGAGTGACACTCCTAAGTGCTTTAGCGTTAACTGTCTGCTCCGTCCTTTTCCTAATATATAAAAGTGCCAATTTCAAGAGAAATCAGACAGGTGGGTTCTCTTTCTCACTCACTTTCAGCATTTGATCACAGTGGAGTTGAGGGCTTATCATAGAATAGCTTTGGATTCAGTGCTTCTCTATAGCAAGCATTTTGGTGGTCCAGTGTAGCGATTAGCATGCTTGCGCTATATTACCCCCCTACTTCTATATGAGAAGTAATGGTTTGGCCCAGGAGTTCCTTACAAATGAGGACCTCCTTGGGCAAGTAGACAGTTGTGCTACTGTAAACAAGGTTACTTCTATTTTAGACATTTTTCTGAGAGGCAAAGCAGGATTAGCCATAATGTGACCTTAGATGGATGCTAAGGGACCATTGGTTTGACCCACTGACCTTGGAACCATGCATTTGCTTGGCCCAATTTACTATCCCTATGTGAAGACTTAAGTGGTGTGGGGGTAAATGGGAACCTGCCTAGGACCTGTTTGATCGTAATCCTTCCATCCTAGAAGGCACCACTTGTAGGAATGAATGTATTTATTTCTAACACTGGGGGTTTCCTTTAAATCTGGATATGTGAGGAACATGACAATTTACACATTTTTGAGAAGAACGTCTTTTCATTTTTGCTGCAGTTTTATCTAAGCTAGTCACAAACAAGACTTCATGACTAATAAAACACAGAAATTTGGATTTTGGGAACAAACACAGCTCAGTAGAGCCCATCTAGTTTGATTCTTACTAACTCAAAAACGCAGAACTTGTTTAGACAATTGTATCTGTCCAGGACAGTCACGTTTCCCCTCCACAAATACTAAAGGAGGTTCCCTACTTTGCTATCTGATCCCGCCTCTTCCTGAAGACAGTCCCATGCATCAACAACTGCCCTAATTTTATCCCTAAACTTCCCAACCTTGCTCTAATATCTATGTTTGTTTTATTTTCAAGGAATTTTCTTTTATTAAGTTCCCCCTCCAGTAAAGGCAATTAGTCTCTTATAGTAAATTTAATCCCTTAGATCTTGCTCCAATATTTAGTATCACTTCTTTGAATTTTCTGCATTTTTAAAGTCTTTAGAAGTAATTAGAACAATGACAGAATCAGGTTTTCATTAACAGCAATGATTGACTGGCGTTCTGAGTTAAAAAGCTTGAAACCATCGACAGGCTGTGATCTCCCAAGCTTCGTTCACTAACAGAGAATCAGACACAGAAGCAATCCACTTGAAACCCTCGAGTCATGCTTAATCTTCAACTCCATCCTACACGTAATAGATTTATCACCAAGAAAAAAAAAATCACTTTCTGCTTGTGCTCTCGTCAACATGTAGCACAACAGGGATTATTGGTCCTAAACTCCTCTCGCCCCCATCATATATCCAACATTTTGCTAAAAATTTGCATTAAGTGTGCTAGAAAAACAAACATTGTTTAGAACACTTGGCTGCTGTGTTGTAAAGAGTGATTTGTTAAAAAACAAAATGAGATATATGGATAACTAAATGTTTAAGTGGCTGATCTAGGTAAAATCTCCAACTTAAATGTTTTATGATTAGTTCCAACTCTATTCAGGCTTAAATGTTTGCAATTTAGTGAATGCTTACTGAATAATAATGTATAATAACACGTCTGTCTGCCTACTAACTACATTTCACGATCATTGTCCATGTTCTATAAGAAGCACAGAATACATTGCTTCGTATGGAGAAACACAGGACACACGCAGCACTCAGTTATAGCATAGAGTGCAGGCGGATTCCAGATGTCAGTTAGATTTAATAATTGAATCTATTTGTGTCGGAAGCCCCTGGTGGCTCTATCTGTCTGACAGCCACTAGTAGGTGTGAGCATTGCAACATTAAAACAGTGTTGTTTCTCAAAATCACATGGTTTTCATTTGCAAGGCTGCATGGGCAGCATCTATGCTCCAAAATCATTTCATAAACATGGAGTGATTTGGGGGCTTTCACTGTCCCTTTAAGAACAGGATCAACACATTCCATTTTCCGTAATTATTTGTCTTTTTTATGACATTCAAAGATCTCATTAACCAGCTCCCCAGTTGGCGTTTAGCACATTAACATGGCCATTTAGAAAACACTTTCTATTAATGTCACTTGTATTTTATGACACTCCGCATGCATGAGTAAGACTTGGGAAGTGAGTTTATGGTATACGGGAAGTGTTGAAATCTGACTCAATAAACCATGGGTGCAATCACAGTATAGACCATGTATTGGATGTTAAATCTGTATTCCGCAGAGCAGACCCCATTTTATTGTCAATAAGGTTTTCAATGAATAACTAGACTTGGAGATTTGTTTCGGACCAAACTGCAATTCGCTGAATTTGGGCTGATCTGACTAATTTGAAATATACACAAATTTAAAAATAACCAAACCGCGCAATGATGAACATGTTCGTGGAGGGAAGGTGGGGTGGGGGTCATTATTTAGCATTCTTACTGTGAAGCCAAAAAAAGAGATGATCGATGAGAATAAAAGATGATTGTTGACTAGGAGACAGTTACTAAATGTTAATTCCATTCACAGATCAAGTGAGAAGCGAGAAACAGAGAGAAAAATAGGAGCCGCAATGAAAAATAAAAAATCTACCTTTCTATACTACATAGTTAACACATATAATATGTAAACATTTCTTTATTTATTTATTTAACTGCATTTCTTGTTTTTCTTTCTCCCGGTTACTTTGTCTCTCTTGATCTGTGAACCAAATGACGGGATAATTATCTGTATATTTTGCAGCACACTGATGTTTTGTTATACTGATTCGGTTCCTGAATCGAAATTCGGCAGTCTTGAAAAATTTGCATTATCCATCTTCAGAAAATATGATTTTGCAGAACTGAAATTTCTATCCACCCAACTGCTGTTCAATGAATGTTGCATGCTTGGTCTGTTGACCACCAGGGGGTCACAGACTTTTCACGTTCAGGAGCTTGGAATGGGTGATACAATAGAATATTCAAGCTGGCCCCTTCATATTAACGCATGATTGTCTTTAATCAGGTATATATGGCCAGTTAGGCTTTCATAAGCCTCGGATATTGTGAATGAGGCGGGAGTTATTGTTAGTCATTTTTGGTGGGCCACGTAAAACACGTTCGATTCAGAATAACACACATTTTCCAACACATATAATATACATAGAGTATTTATATGTCATGGAGTTCCTACATGTTTCTGTAACTCCTATGTACCTAGGACACATACATGCTTAAAGGGACACTATAGGGTCAGGAACACAAACACGTATACCTGACCCTATAGTGCTGAACCCACCATTTAGGTGGTTTACTCCCCCTCCCTCCCCCCCTTGGCCCTCCAATAAAAGTTTAAAACTCAAAACTCACCTTATTTCCAGTGCCGCACGGGTCCGTCTGCACTGGCTCAGCCCCTTTGTGACATCATCAAAATGGCCCCTTTTTAGCCAATCCAACGCTTTCCCATAGGGGAATTCAGTATCTCCTCCCTCTGCACGCAGACACTGAACTTTCCTCATAGAGATTCATTGATTCAATTCATCTCTATGAGGAGATGCTGATTGGCCAGAGCTGTGTTTGAATCATGCCAGCTCTGCCCCTGATCTGCCTCTTTGTTAGTCTCAGCCAATCCTATGGGGAAGCATTGTGATTGGATCAGCCTACTACATGTCAGCAGACTGCTTGTTTTTCTGAGTCTAACAGCATGCAGATTTACAGCTTCAGGCTTGAATACAGTAAGATTTTTACTATATTTATGGAGGGGGCCAGGGGGGCTAGATGGTGGTGTTAACACTATAGGGTCAGGAATACATGTTTGTGTTCCTGACCCTATAGTGATCCTTTAAGGACCGTGGGCATTCTATGCCGTCCTTGGAGAATCAGCTCTAAACACGTGCGGGCGGCATAAAATGTCCCATCCGTCCTATGTACTCACCCGGACGCCGGCAATCGCGGTGTGGGGACTTACCTGGGAGCCCTGGGAGTCTCCCTCCTTCCCCTTCGGCCCCCCTGGGCCATGTGATCGCGAGGTCCTTGCGAGGACCTCACAATCACATGGACAGCATAGATGTCCATGTCAATGCCAGCAAGGGGAGTGCCTGTAATGACAGGTACACCCCCTGCTGCCTGAAAATAGTAAAAAAAAAATATTAAAGATACAGTTAAAAATAATATATACTTAGATCATATGTATATTTATTATATATATGATCTAAGTATATATATATATATATATATATACACATATACATACATACACATTCACTGTCAAAGTGTATTTTAATATTAATATATATATATAATTTTATATATATATATTTATATATACTAATATCAAAATACACGTACAATGATATTGATTAAATATATACATAATTCTCATTATATATATTTATATATAATATAAAATAAATAAATATGTAAATACAAAAAAATATATATATATATATATGTAAATTCGTTCTAACTGTATTTTAAAATTAATATATATACATTGATATCAAAATACATGTAGAACAAAATAATATATCTATTTACTTAAGTATATACGTATATATCACTATATATATACCTATATATAAATAAAAATAATTAAAAAAATCTAATACATATATATACACACATATATATATTAATAATTCTACATATATAGTTATGTAATAATTTTACATAATTAGGTCATTTTATTAATTACAATTTGCAGGACCTGCCTGACAACCCAAGCCGAAAGTTCAGGGAATTTAATTTGCACGCACTATATTTAACCCTATAAAATCTGTACATGGGGGGTACTGTTTTACTCGGTAGACTTCGCTGAACACAAATATTAGTGTTTCAAAACAGTAGAATGTATTACAACGATGATTTTTCACATACAAACAAATATTAATGCTAATTTTGGCTAGTGTTTGTGACCAAGTGGCTACTAAAAAAGACTGGACATACCCTACTTACCTTACACTTACCTTGGGTTGTCTACTCTTACAAATGGTATGCCATCATGGGGGTAATTTTCATTCCTGGGCAACCATACAGTCTCAAAGGCAACGTAACCAATCTGGCAAATTTCAATGTGAAAAAACTGAAAAGTGTAACATGCTATATTTGACCCTGTAACTTCCCACAACACCATAAAACCTGTACATAGGGGGTACTGCATTACACGTGAGACATCGCTGAATACAAATATGTGTATTTTATTGCAGTAAAAGCAAACAATATTATGACACTCACAGTTAAAATGTCACGCAGAACTAAAACATTTTTTTAAATTCTTATTTTCTCCCATTTTTGTATATTTTATCAATATTAAATTATGTTTCATAGTTAAATATTTGATATTAAATGAAAGCCCTGTTTCCCCGGAATAAAATGATATATAATAAGGGTGGGTGCATTTAATATGAAAGAAGTGAATTACACCTGAACAGACATGTAGCGCAAATTCCAGATTTTGTTTACGTTTTGTTTTGATCACAACGTGTACATTTGGCTCAGTCCTTAAGGGGTTAAGCTGTAGTTGTTCTGGTGACTATAGTGTCCCTTTAAGATAAAAACATGCACTGGCATCTGTCAAAGTATCAATTCATTCTACGGGACAAATAAGAGCACTTCACTTAATTCCCCAGTAATGCACTGAGAAAGAAAAGCAGAATATTTGTGGAATCTATTTATACAGCAGGGATTTAGTGCTGTTTTATGGACATTATCTCTATACCTAGATATTATGATTACGGAGCCTGAAGATATTCTCAGTAATTGTAATGTAAAGAGTTGTTTAGAGCAAATAATTTAAATTTTCCAATACACCAAGACATCTAAATACTGTATGATATCTATATGTCTATATGCTCCAGAAAATCACCTTACACCTGCCAAGTGTCCCTATTGAGGAGGGACAGTCCCTATTTTGGTCACAAATTCCTCTATCTCTCTTTTCTATTCTAATGTCCCTCTTTTCTAGGAGCTCCATAGTGTTGGTGTGTCTGAGTGTATAACAGAGCTCCACAGCAACAATACTCACAGTAATCTGTCTGAGTGTATTATTATTATTTTATTATTTATATAGCGCCATCAGATTCAGTTGCGCTGTACAAAGTATGGACTGACATTTAATTGTAACAACTCGACGTACAGGAACAGAGAGGTGGAGGGCCCTGCTCAATGAGTTTACATGCTAGAGGGAGTGGGGTATAGTGACACAGTAACAGAGGGATTGAGGGCCCTGCTCAGTGAGTTTACATGTTAGAGGGAGTGGGGTATAGTGACACAGTAACAGAGGGATTGAGGCCTGCTCAGTGAGTTTACATGTTAGAGGATTGGGGTATAGTGACACAGTAACAGAGGGATTGAGGGTCCTGCTCAGTGAGTTTACATGTTAGAGGGAGTGGGGTATAGTGACACAGTAACAGAGGGATTGAGGCCCTGCTCAGTGAGCTTACATGTTAGAGGGAGTGGGGTATAGTGACACAGTAACAGAGGGATTGAGGGGCCTGCTCAGTGAGTTTACATGTTAGAGGGAGTGGGGTATAGTGACACAGTAACAGAGGGATTGAGGGCCCTGCTCAGTGAGTTTACATGTTAGAGGGAGTGGGGTATAGTGACAAGTAACAGAGGGATTGAGGGCCTGCTCAGTGAGTTTACATGTTAGAGGGAGTGGGGTATAGTGACACAGTAACAGAGGGATTGAGGGCCTGCTCAGTGAGTTTACATGTTAGAGGGAGTGGGGTATAGTGACACAGTAACAGAGGGATTGAGGGCCCTGCTCAGTGAGTTTACATGTTAGAGGGAGTGGGATATAGTGACACAGTAACAGAGGGGTTGAGGTCCTGCTCAGTGAGTTTACATGTTAGAGGGAGTGGGGTATAGTGACACAGTAACAGAGGGATTGAGGGGCCTGCTCAGTGAGTTTACATGTTAGAGGGAGTGGGGTATAGTGACACAGTAACAGAGGGATTGAGGGCCCTGCTCAGTGAGTTTACATGTTAGAGGGAGTGGGGTATAGTGACACAGTAACAGAGGGATTGAGGGCCCTGCTCAGTGAGTTTACATGTTAGAGGGATTGGGGTATAGTGACAGTAACAGAGGGATTGAGGGCCTGCTCAAGGAGTTTACATGTTAGAGGGAGTGGGGTATAGTGACAGTAACAGAGGGATTGAGGGTCCTGCTCAGTGAGTTTACATGTTAGAGGGAGTGGGGTATAGTGACAGTAACAGAGGGATTGAGGGCCTGCTCAGTGAGTTTACATGTTAGAGGGAGTGGGGTATAGTGACACAGTAACAGAGGTATTGAGGGTCCTGCTCAATGAGTTTACATGCTAGAGGGAGTGGGGTATAGTGACACAGTAACAGAGGGATTGAGGGTCCTGCTCAGTGAGTTTACATGTTAGAGGGAGTGGGGTATAATGACAGAGTAACAGAGGGATTGAGGGCCCCGCTCAGTGAGTTTACATGTTAGAGGGAGTGGGGTATAGTGACAGAGTAACAGAGGGATTGAGGGCCCCGCTCAGTGAGTTTACATGTTAGAGGGAGTAGGGTATAGTGACACAGTAACAGAGGGATTGAGGGCCTGCTCAGTGAGTTTACATGTTAGAGGGAGTGGGGTATAGTGACACAAAGGGTAAAACTAGGGGTACGAAGTAAGTTGTTAGAACAATATATACTGAGAGCTTAGTAGGTAATATTTGACAGTTGTAGGAGAGGAGTCGTTGAGGGGGGAAGGATAAAAATCTGCTAACAGTTTAATTGATATGCTTTCATGAAGAAGTGAGTTTTCAATGATTTTTTGAATGAGTGGAGACTGGGTGAAATTTTTACGGAGGAGGGAAGGGAGTTCCACAGAAGAGGTGCAGCCCTGGAAAAGTCTTGGAGGCGAGTGTTAGAGGTGGGAGTACGGAGAGAGGATATATGTAGGTCTTTGGCAGAGCATAGGGGCCTCGACGGGATATACTTGTGTATAAGGGAGGATAGGTAGGTTGGAGCAGCAGTATGTAGGGACTTGTAAGCAAGAACCAGAATTTTAAATTGAGCTCTATATCTAACTGGAAGCCAATGCAGGGACTGAGAGAGGGGGGAGGCGTGGGAGGTGCGAGCGGACAGGAAAATGAGCCTCGCCGCCGCATTCATTATAGATTGCAACGGTGCAATCTGGGAACATGTAAGACCACTGAGAAGAGTATTGCAGTAGTCCAGGCGAGAGAGAGAACAAGAGCATAGACCAGCACCTTAGCCGCTTTCCGGGGTTAGATAGGGGCGGAAGCGCGCTATGGTTTAAAGTGTCATTCTTTGTCCATTTGAAATGTTTGGAATTATGATCTATATTAGACATGTGCATTCATTTTTATACAAATAAAATTTACTAAAACGTAAACAAAAGCCCTACATACGAAATATAAACATAACGAAAGGGAAAATGCCGACTGCATTACCTTTTAATTTAGCTTCTTTCATTAAATAGACTCCGCGCTGCAGGGGAATTAACCCCCACAGCACAGAGAAAATAACACAGCGCAAGCGCTGGGGAAAAAAGCAAGGAGTCCTACCAGCTCCCTCCTTGCTGTGTAATTTGACTTACAGCACTCTGATTGGTTGCTTTCAATCAACCAGAGTGTCAAATTGCACAGCATTGGAAAATTCCAAATAACTTTCCCACGCTGTGAAAAATGACTCAGAGAACTCTGATTGGTTGGATTCCAAACATGTAGTTGTAACCAGACAAGTTGGACACACAGGAACAGAGGGGTTGAGGGCCCTGCTCAATGAGCTTACATGCTAGAGGGAGTGGGGTAAAGTGACACAAAAGGTAAGGATAGTATTAGACTAATGACAGTTGCAAGAGAGGAATCAGTAGGGAGCTATTAACAGTTTAATTGATACGCTTTTTTGAAGAGGTTGGTTTTTAATGATTTTTTTGAGGAGTGGAGACTGGGTGAGCATCTAAGGGAGGAGGGAAGTGAGTTCCACAGGAACGGTGCAGCCCTAGAGAAGTCTTGAAAGGAGCATCAGAGGTGAGAGTACGGACAGAAGATAGACGTAAGTCTTCAGCAGAGCGTAAGGGTCTAGACGGGACATACTTGTGTATTAGGGAGGATAGATAGGTCCAGAATTTTACATTGAGCCCTATACAGGAAGCCAATGTAGGGACTGACAGAAGGCTGAGGCGTGGGCGGTGCAGGAGGACATGAAGATGAGCTTCACCGCTGCATTAATTATGGACTGTAACGACGCAAGTTGGGAGCACGTAAGACCACTGAGAAGCGGAATACAGTAGTCAAGGCGAGAAAGAACAGTGGAATGGACCAGCACCTAAGTCGCATCTGGCGTTAAGTAGGGTCGGATGCATGAAATGTTTTTGAGATTGGAGCTGCACGATTTAGCGATCGGCTGAACATGAGGCATGAAGGAGAGGTTGGAGTCAAACACCTAGGCAGTGAGCCTGCATGGTGGAGCTGATGTTAGCACCGTTGACTTGGAGGGAGACAGACACAGGACTAGCAACACTTGAGTGAGGAAAGACCAGAATTTCAGTTTTGGTCAAGTTGAGTTTAAGGAAGTGGGCAGCCATCCAGTTAGAAATAGGAGAGAGGCAGTCAGAGACACGAGTCAAGAGGGGCGGAGAGAGATCAGTAGAGGACAGATAGATTTGCGTGTCATCCGCATATAAATGATATTGGAAGCCAAAGGAGCCGATGAGTTTACCAAGGGAGGCAGTATAGATGGAGAACAATAGAGCAATAGCTGCCCAGTCAGTAGTTTTACATTTGTTTAGGCGACATGCCCCTACTCGCGGCATGCTGCAAGTAGGGGCATGCGGGAGGATTTAACCTGTGCCAGGTCGCTCATTATTGCACTAGCAACTGGGCAGCAATAGCTGCCCAGTCACTAGTAGTTTTAAATGACAGCGTGCAGTCACTGGCTGCTCGCTGTTTAGGTGACATGCTGTGAGTAGGGGCATGCGGGATGATTTAACCTCCCTTTTATTAATATGGGGGTCAGAGTGACCCACATAGGTTAATGCGGGGTGGGGAGGGGTGTAATGGTTAATGATTTATACAAGGAGGAGGCTGGCAGCGCTGCCGGCTTCCTCCTTGCTTTTTTTTTTTTTGCACATGTGTAGTGCTATTTTCGTCCTAATTGACGAAAACAAATTATTTTTTTGCGAATTTCGTTCGAAAACGAATGGTTTACGGCCAAAATTCGGGATTGACAAATGACATTTTTATTTTTAGTACGAAATAATTTGTACGAAATGAAAATTTCACTGGTGCACGTCTAATCTACATATTGTGTGACATCTACAAAACATCAGCATGATCTAGAATAGGGATAGGCAACCTTTGGCAAACCAGATGTTGTGGACTACATCCCCCATAATGCTCTTACGCCCATAATGCTGGTAAAACATCATGGGAGGTGTAGTCCAAAATATCTGAAGTGCCGAAGGTTGCCTATGCCTGATCTAGAACATCCAAATCTACATGTTCTAAATAATGTGTGTGCACGAAGACATCTACACATAGCAGGTTATCTCTATGGTACAGGACTCCTGCATATTCCGGGAGAACTAACAGGAGTAACATCTAACTTATTTACAAATCTTCTTAGGATCCATAGGCGTGCACAGCCTATTGCATTAGGGTGTGCACCCTAAAGCACAAGCCGCATATATATATGTATGTATGTATATATATATGTGTGTATATATATGTATGTGTGTATATATATATATATATATATATATATATATATATATATATACATACACATATATACACACACAGCATGTGTGTGTGTGTGCTGTGTGAGGGTGCTGTTAGTGTGATGTGTGTGTGACGATGCTGGTAGTGTGCTATGTGGGTGAGGGTGTTTGTGTGTGCGTGCTTGTGAGAATGCTGTTAATGTACTGTGTGTGAGGGTGCTGTTTGTGTGTGTGTGTGTGCTTGTGAGGGTGCTGTTAATGTACTGTGTGTGAGGGTGCTGTTTGTGTGTGAGGGTACTGGTAGTGTGCTGTGTGTGTTTGTTAGGGTCCTGTTTGTGTTTGTGAGGGTACTGTTAGTGTGCTGTGTGTGTGTGAGGGTGCTGTTTGTGTGCTGTGCGTGAGGGTGCTGTGTGTGTTTGTGAGGGTGCTGTATGTGTGTGTGGGTGCTGTATGTGTGTTGGTGCTGTGTATGTCTGTGGGTGCTGTGTATGTTTGTGGGTGCTGTGTATGTCTGTGGGTGCTGTGTGTGGGTGCTGTATGTGTGTGGGTGCTGTGTATGTCTGTGGGTGCTGTATGTCTGTGGGTGCTGTATGTCTGTGGGTGCTGTGTATGTCTGTGGGTGCTGAATGTGTGTGGGTGCTGTGTATGTCTGTGGGTGCTGAATGTCTGTGGGTGCTGAATGTGTGTGGGTGCTGTGTATGTCTGTGGGTGCTGTATGTCTGTGGGTTCTGTGTATGTCTGTGGGTGCTGTGTATGTGTGTGGGTGCTGTGTATGTGTGTGGGTGCTGTATGTCTGTGGGTGCTGTATGTCTGTGGGTGCTGAATGTGTGTGTGTGCTGTATGTGTGTGTGCTGTGTATGTCTGTGTGTGCTGTGTGTGTGCTGTGTGTGTATGTGTGTTGTATGTGGGTGGGTGATTGTGGGGGGTGGAGGTGGGGGTACATTAATTGCTATCCCCCCTCCCTTCTTACCTTTTGTAGGGAGGGGGGATCGTGCTGCTGATTCCTTCCCTGGTGGTCCAGTGGAGGAGGGGATCCTTGCTGCTGCTTTCCCTGGTGGTCCAGTGGAGAGTGAACTCTAGCCCCCTGTGGGGCTAGCGTTCACTCTCGCGAGATTTGAGCGTTGCCGTGGCAACGCTCATATCTCGCGAGAGGAACCCGGCGGAGCTGCCGGCAATAGCTCCGCCGGGTCCTCTCCTGCCTCCCTACCTGCATGTGGGTCGGTAGGGAGGGAGGCTGAGAGCAGAGCCGGCGCTCGGATAGCGCCGGCTCTGCATGAGCCGACAGGGGAGATCCTGAGATCTCCCCTGCCGGTCTCAATATACATAGGCGTGCCGCGGGATTAGGGTGTGCCCAGGCACACCCGGCACACCCCGTGCGCACGCCTATGTTAGGATCAGAGTATTTACAGAGCCCACTCTCTCTTTTACAGCTTTCAAAGATTATGTTAACTAACAAGATATGCTGCTGTGCCCCAGAAATATGATGAGATAATATACAACTCCCAGTTTATAAACTATCTGGGAAATATATATTGATTTCTAAATCCTTCAGCTTTAGGAAGTGATCTTCATGATAACTGGAGATAGAATGGATTATTGTACTGTAGTAACAATAGAAATAGATTATGGACACACATCCATTCACAATCTGTAGCGTTACTTACCTTAACCGGGGGCCGGTCGCGGTCCTCTCTTCAAGCCGCGCGCGGTCCTGCGGCTGCACGAGCCGCGCGCGGCTCATCCGACTGCTTCAGATGGAAGGCGGGCAATGACCGCGTGAAGCGGTCACGTGTCCCGCCTGAAACTAAGAGCGCGCCGCGAGTCTCGGGCGCGCTCTTAAAGAGACAGTGGGAGCCTAATTGCCAAAAGGCTCCCATTCGCTCCTGTCATACCACACTCCCTGTACAATTACCTAT